GTATAGCATACAGAAGACCTTTATCAATATCGACGGTGCCTTTGACAAAACAAATTTCACCAGTATCAGCCAAGCTATGTCTAGACATGGTGTTAATTCCACAATCTCAAGGTGGATCGACAGCATGCTAAGATATAGAGCTATTCAATTTACTGTGAGCGAAGTGACTAGAGGGTGCTTGCACAGCGGTGTACTCTCCCTTTTTCTGTGGAACATTGGTGTGGATGAACTAATCACACAACTTAACGACCGTAGATTCCTCACAATAGGCTATGTAGACGATCTGACTATCCTCATCAGTGGTCACTTTGAGAGCGTTATATGCCATCGAATGAGACTCACACTGAAGATCGTTGAACAGTGATGTGTGACACATAACTTGACAGTGAACGGAGATGATAATGGAGGAAAAGGAGGAAAGTGTTCATCTCTGCCCCACACCTTGTCACTTCCCACGGGCAACTCCTTGCACCCGGTTTTTCCCGACAACTTGATCTTCTTTTCCTATATCCTGAAACCTTCCAAACTACCTCCTAAAATTCTAGATTGCAGTTTCCGTCGCATAGATATTGACAAAATTTGTCAATCTTAGCAGCATCCTCGTGTAATTACACGAGGATGCTGCTAAGATTGACAAATTTTTGAAATGGAACGAATGAATTCGAATGAAATTGAATGAATTCTGCTTGAAATGGAACTTTTATAAGGCTGCAAGGAATCGGTGCAATCAGGTGATATGCATCGCTAAACGCCGACATATGCTTCAAAACATACGTCTTCTTCTTCGTCCAGTATCTGGAAATTTCTTGGTACTCTGTACCAATTCCTGTGTTTAACAATAAAATTGGTTTGAATTATATCAACCGTCATTTCTCAAGAGCTTCTAAGTAAGTGTCAAACGCTACACTAGATATCTGGTCTTACCAGTCCCACTACTGACTCGTATGAATTTTCTCCGGTCTTTCCTGAGGATATCAAGAAGATTATTCTTTCTATCCGTTCTAATGCTGTGGGGTGTGATGGCATGATTGCCAACATCGTAGACTACATTCTCTCAGTAATTACTCATCTAATCAACTTCTCTCTCGACTGTGATACCTTTCCCTCTTTGTAGCGCAAGGCTTATATTATTTCTCAACCAAAAAATAATAACCCTTTACTTCCTGAACACTTTCGACCTGTCTCTATTCTTCCCTTTTTATGTAAAGTAGGTTCCCGAGGCCTGTGTACCTTAACAACTCACAGTTTGTATACAGAAACCAACTTTTAAGCCCCTTACAATCCGGCTTCAGGCCCGGCCGGCTACTGTTCTCCTTAAAGTGACTGGCGATATTAGGAGGGGCATGGAAGACACCAAAGTCACAGTATTAGTCCAATGCTCATAAACAAACATAGTCTAGGTAATCTCAAACTTCCTAAACTATTTCAAACCCAACTGGCTCTTACCAAAGAGGTGAAATACCTAGGTGTAATACTAGACGGGCACGCCGTCATCGCGGCGGTAAGACCCGTTATGGATGATTGGCTCGAGAGGCGTCACGGGACCCTCTCATACCGACTGTCGCAGGTGATCACTGGGAAAGGATGTTTCGGGGATCACCTGTGTCTGATCCGCAAGGAGCCAACGCCTGAGTGCCACCACTGCGATGGCCAGACTGTGGACACGGCTCTCCACACGCTGGCAGATGATGATAGATGACCCGAGGTATGTCGGGGCACCAGGGACATCCTTTCTAGGGTATACCTGATTCCCCAGCTATTAGTACCCAAGACGGCGTGCGGTTTTAGTCGGTTCGAGTCCGACATGCCACCGACAGGTGGCATCCGAGGGGATTTCCGCACGGAAAAAAAAAAAAGGAGTAATACTAGATAGTAAACTTCTGTGGAATTGACACCTCGAAGAGAAACTAAATAAAGCCTGCATTGTCTTCTGCCAATGCAAACGGATACTCGGAAAAAACTGGGGACTATCACCAAGGATTACACTATGGCTCTACAGAACAGTCATACGACATAATAATCACGTACGGTGCCGTTGTCTGGTGGCAGAGAACAGAGCCAAGCACCGCAATGAATGGCAGCAATTCCCATGCTCGGTGGTCATTGGCTGTATGTGCACAACGTCAGCTGCCGCACAAGAGGTGGCTCTTGGTCTGCCCCCACTAGACTTGTTCATATAGCAGAAGGCAGCCATGGCGATCATTAGACTCAGACACCTGGGATCGCACTCCAAATTATAGGATCAATTAGTAGAATACCAACCACAACAGCAGCTCCATGCGATAGGATCCCAAAACACCATTTCTTTAGAAAGAGATGAACCTAGTTGGCTAAACAGGTATTTGTGATAGTAAAACCCAAATAATATTAATGTAATGCTAGAGACCCTTAGTTTGAATTAAAAATGACACTGGTAATGTGATAGGTATAGCAGAGGATATCAGATTAGATCAAGTTCATTGTTATCGATGTAAAGTTGTCAGGTTACAAAATAAAACTCCATATTGTTTATTTATAATAATTGCATTCTGTCACGTTATAATATTGTTACACCCATATTCATACGATTTAAGACAAGATAACAGTCTAGAATACATCACAGAGCACACGCCTATTCTGATAATTCGTTGGTAAATTTAGAAGCTCAAACCAGGAGTTTATTTCGCAATAAGTAAAAGAAACTGACCAGCTACATTGTATTATAGCGTCCGTCCATATAAAATTTTGTCAAAGATATTCCTAATTTTGAAATGAACGGTAATTGGCTTTTAATTTATAATAACTCATTAATAAATATCTCAAGAACTTATATTTTTACTATTATAACGGTGCGCCTATGCCATATATTCTATTCAAGATAATGTGCTGCATCACTTCTGAGTAATTTAACACATTCTCCTACAAAACTGAGCAAGAGTACGCTTTCATACTTTTTACACAACTTAAATATATTTACCTATAAAACCACTACAATAGGCTACAAAAGAAAAGTTGAATATAAAATTATTTTAACCACCACAACACAATAGATAAAAATAAATGTATGGCTACTGAGGAAAACTAAAACGGTGGAATAATAACCAACACATAATAAACTGTATACTGGTGATAAAAACATCAAATTTTGTCTTTTGTTTTAGCTATTTATTTTCTCCATATTTAACCAATTTATCGTTCTACACTGACAATGGCATAAAGTGAAATAATCAGTCAACCTTATATTTATCCCAACTAATTGTGACTAATTTAAATAACTCTGAAAGAATAAACAAAAACATATATTAATTAATAATTTTTATGTTCTTATAAAAGATACAGGATATTCATGAAATGTGTTACATTTGCATTTTTTTTCAAGCAGAACTATTTACATAAATCTATTTTTTCGTAGTGCTAAACAAGTGAGTTCACAGGGTATAAACAATACGGTTATTAAAATATAAAAACACCACATATTTCTTCACAGTTATAAGAATGTGAAACAGGCTATCCCAATTAAGGATTCGCTCGTTTTACTTAATGCATATACAACAATTTTGCGTATCGCCTAAAATAAGAAGGAATGAAATTAACTTACTAGTTAAACAATAAATGAACCTTTTGAGACGTGCTAAGCCGATAGACATTCATTAATTTAAAGATGTTCAAATCGTTGTAGCTTACTAATCCTTACTTACACCAAGCACAAGATTTATAAAATGACGCTAAAAAAACATTGAAATTCAATGTAATCAATCATTTAATAAATATGTTAGAATTGCATGTACTTTCAATACAAGTATGTGTTATATGTTTTCATATTTTAAGTAGCGCCATTTTACATACTGCCTGTACATCTATCTTAATAAATTTTACACACAGTTGCCCGTAACCCAAACACAAGTGAAATAAACAACTACTGTCTTGTTACAAACAATATTATGTGAATACTACTACTATTAAATTGAATGAAATATTGTATATTCATTCAAATGACAGAGATACAGTACTAGAAGTCAACAATTAAAACACTATCTTGATTTCATTTTTGCTGTATGCAAAATGTTACTATCGATCTAATTGTTTTACGACTTCATAAACCCAAAGAAACAATAAAAAACTACATTTATTGAAGAAAGAAATACTCGTATCTGTTAATGTATATCCGTTTGCTACTAGTCACTATTGAGAAATGATGGGCGCTATTATCCCCATAATTTTAAAGTTTTTGATGCATTTTGTTACACTGGGTGTAAGGGACGTATAACGAATACTAAAATAGTGTATTGTGTGTGTGATATCATTTTTCATCATTTTCAATTTAAAAAAAGATGATGGTCTGAATACACTATTTCAGTATTATTTACACCCTGTACAGAATAATTATGGTACGGCATTGCACATCAATAGAAGATCACATTTTTTATTTAAACTATATTATATAAAATATTTTTTTAGTTAGAGGGCTCGTACTTCCCTGCAACATCCGATTGAAATTACAGAGACGCTGAGATATTGCTGCTTCTTGAGCTATTGCTTACACCCCCTTAATCCACCCATTCAAGCAATACTCTTTCTTTTAAAACCCACATTTCTCTTTCGATATATTCCGATTGCACTATTTATAAAATGCCCAGTTCAGGGAAACAGGCTTGTCCTCTAATACGTGGTGAGTGTAAGAAATTATAGTCCGCAAAATGGGACTCTGGCCTTTCCCGGACACAGGCGCGAGTGAATTTGTAATATTTAAAAAAAATTGCCAGTTGTTGTAATGGCTTTGCTTTTTCATGAGAAGTTCACATACATGATAAAAAATACCATTGATTTGTTTGTCTGTTTTCTATTTCATAGCGAGCAGCGAAAATGACAACCAATTTCAAACAAAATCCAAATAGAGCCCACCATTATTTTCGCTTCGCAATTTATTTTGGAGTTTGTAACAGAAGAGTAGTAACAATATTGATGGTGTAAGCAAATAGTAGCCGGAGTAGTGGACGTCTAAGTTGCTAAGCGCGGGAGTGTTAGCTCATAGACAACTGGCCCAGAGCTAGTAGCCTTTCTACAGCTGCGTTCACGTCACCAAACGTCGCGATCAGAGCTATAACCAAAAATTCTCAAGTTTATAAGTGTAACAATAATCAAATTTTATAATTGAAAAAATGTATAAAAAAGCTTTGTCACAAACAAGGCTTAATTACGTCCTGCTGTTCGTATTTGAACAAGTACAAAACAATTAAGTCATTCTAAAAATCAAAAATGATTACAGTGTGAGGCATACACTGTAATCATTATTGTATTTATAAGTTAATTGTCAAAAAAAAAACGGCAGATCCTGTACACCAGTAATATACGATGGTTATGAGATTTGTACTGTTTATAAAGTGAATCGTTCTAACCATTTGCCAGGTAATTATCATACTTTTAGAACTTTGCTAAAAGTGTATTAATTCTTCTTAAAAATATGTAACAACTGCAATAACTAAAAATTCAAGACAAATGTTGTCAACAAAACGCATTCCCACGCGTCCTTGCTTGCCATGCAGAAATACAATTTACACGAAAAACTATATTTTTAAATCGATATTTATGAATGAGCTCAACAGTGTATTTAGTGGTTAAAAACTAATCTTCTTTTGTACTAATGTTGACCGTACAGATTAAACGAAGTAAAAAAGGAATGAATAATATTAAATCGGGTAGATTCATCGTAAACATGTAAAAAAGTAATTTAACTGATTTGACACTGTAACATTGGATCGACAGATCAAAAAAAATTAAACGAATTTTTTTGATAATTTAGTACCTACTTTACACACAGCTGTCATGAGTATCGACTTCAGTACAGCCTATAATGTAAACTAAAAAATGAAATAACGTTTGAACGCAAAGTTCAAAAAATCTGGTAAGTAATTAAAACTGTTATTGTCGCTGATATTACCCGCCAAATAAATACAACAATAATCCCTAGATCCTGAGATAAGCAAGGCGGTACGAAAGTCCCATACATAACCGTCTATCGTATGGAAATATCTATTTGCATATATAATTCAATATTTATGTTTGGTTAAAATAATTACAAAACAGTTTGGCAATCTCACCTTGCAAATTCGCTTCACGATTGAGGAAACCCATGGCGGTGAGTTGTTCCAACTGTTGCGAGTAACGTTGTTCAGGGGGCTGTTGCGGATTGGTCTGATTGTTCGACATCGCCGACATCATTCGCTGCATAAACTGTGAAAAAACATACAGTTACAAAAGATACTATAAAGCGAGGTTAATGTTGAAATTACTAAATATTACATATTTCTGTTCGATTCTACTTCGAACTTAAGGATGTGAAAAATTACTACTCAATAATACGACAAGTCAGATCAATTTCTCTTTCTTAAAAGTTAAAACTAAAGGCTTTAGCTCTTGTAAGAAATAATGGTTAATGACGGCATAAACCAAACATTTGAAGTTTGTTTTAACTACGCCAAATTTAAAAATAATAATATATCAAAAATTTTGAAAGTTCATACATATTCTTCTTCATATTTTAGGGATTTTTATTTAACTTGTTTTAGTCGCAGGCTACATCTCTGTTACTGTTCAACAGTAATTTAAATTAGGGCTACCTAATGTTACGATTACCTACGATTATTATATCCAACTTGATTATGTCCACATTGTATGTGAATGGATTTACTAATTAATGTGTCGTTAAATATTACTTAACCATATACAGAACTACTAACTAAAACAGTGCTTCTTAAACGTGGTTGTTGTAATTAATTTATTATTGGCAAAAAATTTAAGGTTACATTTTGGTCACAAATCAATCAATCTAAGGGGTTCTATTTTTATTTTTAATAACTAAAAATCCTTGGTCACTTAAATTACTGATACAAATAATGTTTCACTTTCACACTTTCTTTCGAATTTTAGACTAACTTATTGTTGTTTGGGGCCTAAAATATTTTGCTCCTAATATCTTTAGTATTAAATCCTGTTTCGAATCCTTGGCGCTAATATAGTTTTTTTTTATGTTAGAGGAGGCAGACGAGCAGACGGGTCACCTGATGGAAAGTGACTGCAATTCAGGAGTCACAAACGCGTTGCCGGCCTTTTAGGAAGGAGTAATTCTTCAATATTTCGCAAGGAAAGTAAAGGCGTAAGAAATGAACTGGGAAAAACGATTTCGACCTTTCTTTACTGTTTTTTTTTTCCTAAGGTATTAAGTAGCTGGGATATTAAACAAATGTATAATGACTTTGGGGACCGATTCGGTAACAGCGATTAAGAAACACTGATCTAAATAGTTACTGTAAGAATAATGATCCAATTACACATAATTAACACTTCTAGTAGCTATAAGAACAAATCGAGATCAGGTACTCATACAATAAAATTATTATGTTTTTACATATATAAGATATTTCTAACTCACACAAACGAATTTTTATAGGTTATTCCGTTTTACGTGCGACGCGACGTGTACTTGCGAAGCACCAGCGGGACATACAGGAAAAAAGGTATGTCGAATTGTATAACTATAATGTTAGTGATTTCAGTACAGTTAAAAACAATACGCTAGTAACTAGTTTTGAAACCACTATTTAATTTAACTCAGTAATGTAATTATTATTTTAACTGACTTGTTAAGATAACCCCATAACACAGTAACTGAGACATCAATGATAGATTCCTCTCTGAATAATTAACTTTTAAAGAAGTAGCACTGATTTTAATGCACATAATGCAATCATGGTGAAACGAAATGACAAGATATTAATTACTGCAAGTAAATCTTTTCAGATATTTTTACAAGTCGGTGAATCGTAAACGGTATTGTTCATTCCTCAATTTACCCCCATAGAGTGTGTAGACATATTTTTAGCCAATTTTGTAACTGTATAGGACAATCTTTATTTTTAAGCTTACGAGTTTAATTTGTAGCTAAGTTTAACCTAACTTTGTTGATTTACAGAAAAACTAAAACAATGCGAAAATAATGTTTTAAATGTAATAATGTTTTAAACTATTACGTTTTCTTTATAACTCAGGTGTAGGTAGATAATAATCTTACTTTGAGATAAGCATTTTTCTAAGATTGTCTTTTTTTTTAAATATTCTGTTTATAGATAAAAATACTTATCGTCATAAGCAATTCTTAATTAATCATTTTATATAACGTATAATAAACACTGAAACTATCTTGTTTTTTTTTTAATTTGAAAAGTGTAACAATGGAACTAGGTGCTTACCTGTGTAAATAGCTCAGAGTTCTGCTGTTGTCGCGGTGCTTGGCTGTTGGGCTGTGTTGTAGGTGGGGGTTGTGTTGGAGGGGTTGCAGTTGCTGCACCCACTCCCAGTCCAAGGTTATTCACTAAGTTCGGAGCGGCACTTCGCAGCTGTTCCAGGCCTTGCTGGATTTGAAGGAGAGCGTTCAGAGCCTGAATTCAATAAAATATGCGTTATCTATACAAAACTGGCGCGTGATCATATTGAGACCATGCAAGTTTTTTTTAACTATTGGAGTTTGGAATGGACGAACCTGCGAACCTGAAGCGGCGCTAAGATTATTTATATACAGCTGTAACTCTATATTATCGGACTAACAGCTGCTTACTATAAAGGCCACAACAGATTTCATATTGTTAAAACTTCGTCATATATCAGAATGTCACAATGCAAAACTGATATGTGTCATAATTTACAATTACATAAAGTGCCTGGCCTAAGAAGAATGCCATAATGTGAATTTAAATCTCAATTAAGGTTTGTAATAAGGTTTTAAAGGCAAGACAATGTACACGCTACACTGTCTTCTCTGTATGCTCCCAGAAGTGACAACACTATTGATGCAGGGTGATCTGTTATTTTCAGATTAACTTAAAATGTCTGTTTCCAAATATCTACTACCTCTGTATCTACTAACCTGTGGGTTGGACATCATTTGTTGCATCTCAGGATTTTGTAGTTGTGAGAGCATTTGCGGCATCATAGTGCGGATTTGATCTTGCAATTGAGGGTTGTTCGCAAACATCGGGTTCTATGGACACAAAAAATATATAGCTACGAAAGTACTTGTAAGAAAATGTAAAATAAAATATTATATTTATTTTTATAACATAAAATTATTTTATGTGGTTTGTTGAACATAATAGGAATTGTCTTAATAAGCGCCGCAATGTGAATTTTGTATTTTACTGTTTCTGGAGGTTGCTTATCTTGAAGGTAATTGTGAACATAACATACTGAGGACATACTTAAAGTTTATAAAGCAAGAATGTTAGCTTTACTTACTTAATTTAAAAAAAAGACTTGTTTTTCTATTAACAGAGAAAACAACAGAGGTAGGAATGGATGGTTTGTATGAAGTTTGGATAATGGCTTTCGCAGCTTGCATCAAAGAAGCAAAAGTGCGAAAAAATATAATTCGTGAATTGTATAAACAGCTGTGAGCCTTTAAGGTAAAAAATTATAAAATAAAAGGCTCTCTTGAACAGTGCAAATGCACTATTGTAGCAACCTGATCAACCAATATTAGTGTATAACTAATATCGGAATTGAAGTTAGGATCCGGTGATCTTAACTGCAATTATTTTGTTTATATACTATACACCATGAAATTGTAATTGCCGTCCAAATTTTGTTTAGGCACTAGACAACATTTTTTAGGACCCCATTTTTGGAAAAAAATTGTAGGTCAAATTTTCAACATAAAATATTTCATCCCGAAGAAAATATTTAGCAGCGTGGTCACTAATTCAAACGTACAAAATAGTCTTATGCTAGTTACGTAAACAGTGAGAGAAAGAATGCATCGGGGGACGCGGCGGATGTGGCGGAATGAGGCGCGTACAAAACCCGGCCGTCGGCCGGTACAAATCAAACAATTAAATAATATTCTTAAACCATTTTACGATTTTACCCGCAAAGCAGAGGCTGTTAGACTACGGACAGTTTAGAACCCCGTCACACGCAAAAGGGTATTGCCAGGTCAAGACTAGCAATAGAGGTCGAAGAACGAACCTTTGACTTCTTTGAACTCCTAAATTTTACTAAATATTCTTCTGTGTTAATATGGACGGCAAATTTAAAGTCACCTGTATAATACCTGGTTAATGAGCTGCGAGGCCATGTCAGGATCTGCGGCGAGCGCCTGAAGCATAGTATTAGTATACGGAGCCGACAACATAGATTGTACGAGTCGTGGATTTTCTGACATCTGCTGCAAAAGCGACTGCATGCCCGGCGTGTTAATGAGCCCTGGGCCCGTGGCGCCGCCGGCCCCGGCCCCAGCACCAGGCGCCGCCCCGCCCGCGCCGCCCGCCGCGCCCCCGCCGCGCTGCCAGGGGTTGGGCAGCGGCTGGCGATTCTCCGCGCCTTGCTGGGGGTTCGTGCCGTCTGTGGGCCCAAATACGAACTGACTTTAGCTACACAGTCTGCTCGTGAGCGGCAACAACATCACGACTACAATAATCTTACATACGTGGTAATGCTGAATCATACAATATATTTCTCGATCGGTAAATCGATAGATACCTATAATAGAGGCAGGTTTTATAAATTTGTATTATTTTACTTTACAAAATGTAATCACTTAATAGTTTTTCTTGTAGGTAATATTTTTTATTGACATACTCCTCGGAAACAGCTAGACCGATTTTTATAAAATTTTGTATGCACATCGGGTAGGTCTGAGAAACGGCCAACATCTATTTTTCATACCCCTAAAAGACAATGGTGACCCCCCCTAAAAATTTTTTTGAATATTTCCTAGAAATAATGTATATAAACGTTTGCCGGGTCGGCTAGTAATATATAATATAATAATAATAATATTCTACCACATTCACACAACGCCATCTAGTCCCAAACTAAGCAGAGCTTGTACTATGGGTACAAGATAACTGATATAAATACATTTATACTTTTTTTTTGTAAATACATACATATTATACATAGAAACACCCAGACCAAATCAAAAACTAAATGTTCATGCACTCAAATGTTTGACTTGAGCGGGAATCGAACCCGCGTCCTTTGGAATAGCAGTCCGATACACAAACCACTACGCTATCCGGTCGTCAATAACCTAAGACTATAATACAAATCAATTAAAAAATCCTTAATGGTCTATTATAAAATATTGAGAGTTTTACTAACCAGAATTATCCACCAATCCAGAGAACGGGTTGCCTGCCATACTGCTTGCTACGTTTAACATGGGCTCCTGAATATCTCTGTACATGCGTTGTAAAGCGTTGTAGCCACCTAAAAGTTTAAAAATTATAATTATGCTTGAAAGTTGCACTTAATTTTAAGAGATTAGACGCTGCTTATAAATATTAGCAATCTATAATAATATATAAAGACTTTGCTACAACTGAGGCAGCACAGCTCTCTTGTACGATTGTGGTAAGAATAATGGAGCATGAATAACTTATCTCCATTTCGTGGTATTCAAATACAATATTGAAAATGGTACTATTTTGCTGACTTACCAGGTATGCTTTCCAAGTTGGAGAGGGCGCGGTCATGAGAGCGCATGAGCTCTTGCAACATGGCGGGATTACGTGCTAGCTCCATTGTTTGGCGCAGCAGTTCAGGGTTGTTCAGCATGTGACTAATCTCAGGGTTTCGCTAAATATTGGACATACTTTTTGTTAATATATGAAATAATAAAACTCATTTCTTGCAAGGTCTTGGTTTTTTTAGTAAATAATTCCATTCTAAATCACTAATTGATTTATTTTACTTGGAAAACAAAAAGTATCTTATATCTATTTAACAACTACTTTTGTTTTATCACTGAAAACCATTTATAAGCATATTTAGTGCTTGATTGCTTGCATATGTATTAAACATAATAAATTTAAGAGATACATATTAAAAAAGAAAACTAAGACAGTTCGAGAAACGATACGAAGCGTTCTTCGGGTATAATGCGAATGTAACGAGATGGATTTGAATTGAACAAATCAAATCGGTAACACTTTCAACTTTGTCAATGGAGTTAGCCGCTCTCACAAAAAAAGGATACATTCCGGTAGTTTGCTATACTTCAGGAAATGTGAAGAGGATATTGCGACCTAACCGGTCTACGAAGGAACTCTTAAGAGCAACTTGTCAAGGAAGTAAGGAGAATCTACTTTTGCCTACGCTATTTTGACTAAAAAAGTAACATCTGCGATTTTCCTTCTTTCGTATACTGTTATATCGATTTTTGCCTAAAAGAAATGTATTACAACAAATAATGAGTCAGACTTAAAATTGATTGACGACAAAGAATATTTACAGAAAAAAATATCTAAGCAAAATGCTAGCAACGCACGTCCATGGCATCCAATTTAAACAAACACAAGGGGCCGCAGTAATTGAGCTACCGTCAATCGATCTCGTGGCAAAAAATGAACCCATTTCTAATGTTTCAATTATATCATATATACATATACATATTTATACTAATATTATAAAGCTGAAGAGTTTGTTTGTTTGAACGCGCTAATCTCGGGAACTACTGGTCCGATTCGAAAACTTATTTAAGTGTTAGATAGCCCATTTATCGAGGTAGGCTATATATGTATCACGCTAAGACCAATAGGAGCGGAGCACCAATAAAGAATGTTGCAAAAACTGGGAAAAGTTATATATTTTAAAATACGCAGACGAAGTTGCGCGAGTCAGCTAGTGTGTACATATAAGACAATTTAGTAAAACAAAATATTTACTTTTTTACTGTATGATTTTAGCAGTTTATTTTCCTTATTAGTTTCTTCTAATGTTCGGGTTGAGTTTCATAAGTTGCTGGCTGTTTGTACATGAAAGTGGATAGCGGTTTCGAATCTTAATTTGGACCGACATTTTTACACCAACAACGCATCTTTTGCGGCCTTTTGGGGCACAACTTTACATTTAAAGCGTGTGCAACATGCTTTTATGGAGTTTAAACTAAGTAAATAAATGTTTTTATTACAAAGTTTACTTACTGCCATTAAGTCTTGCATTTGTGGGTTCGATGTAATGAGTGTACGCATATTTTCGGGGTCATTCATCATCTGCTGCACCAGCGGGTTGTCTAAAACTTGTCGTAACATGTCTGGGTTTGACAGAAGCTCCTGTTGCATCCGAGCCTGCAATAAAGAATCACGGTTTAAGAGTTTGATAATTTCCTTACTTTTAATCCGACTGCGCCAAAAGGAGGGTTATGTTTTTTGAGTGTATGTAATAGGGATAGATTAAAATCACAATCACCTGTGATAAACATATACGTATGACATGATTTATAAATCATATAATTACATTACCTGTGATTAATTTACAAAACCACTGATTTATTATTATTATTAAAACGCGCAAGACTCGGGCTAAAAAAGGTCTAAAAACGGTCATAATCTTTGATAAAAAGAATTTTAAGTGGTTTTGATGGCATTTATCTTTGTCTGTTACCAAATCACAATCGTAGGTGAAATCTTTGTGACTAAAACCAATCATTAAAATTTCATCATATAAGATTATGATTTAAAAGTGGCAATAAATGTACATTTCTTTGGCACGCTCTGTAGTCAAAACGGCTTGATGGATTATAGCTTGGGAGGTGTCCTTAGATTCGTCTCAATGGTGAGAGTGAGACTATATATGAATATTATAAAAAATAAAATCGCCGGTTTGTAACTTCAATTAGAGATACTTATTATTATTATTATATTATTATTATATATTATAATATCGGTCATAGCGTAATGGATAAGGCGTTAGACTGTCGATACAAAACGTTAGCGACCGTATATTAACACCGTAAACTAACATCATAACACCGGACCTACGAAACCTAACACTAGAGACATGTTACAATTTTTATTAAGATCTCTTCATCTAAGTAAAAAAATATTCAATAAGGCTGTACCGTACTTATTACAATTTTATAAGTGCGATTCAGTCCACGATACTTTTAACTAAATTATAGTTTAAAAACAAAAAAAACCAAATGCGTGGTGTGCTAGATCTCAATTTTTGTAAATGTTTTTTTGACAGATATTGATAAAATTAACTTTTCTTTTAATAATAACTTTATTTTATTATAAAATATTTAAAAAAAAACACAAGCATAATTTTATATTGTCATCAGTCCTTGATAAGTGTGCGAAGTTAGAATTAAATCCGACGTTTTAAAGATTCCATTACATAGATATATACACATACCAAGCTAATAAAAGCATGATAAAAAAAAGTTGATTATAAATAAGTAAATCGCATGAAGCATATATATTATGCAAGCGTACAAATAACCACCCACCTCCTCGTATACAGGAGAGTATTGTTTGTAATTATTTGTAATTTTTATTGCCAATCCTTAGTCTAGTAACGTGTAACTCCATTTGATTCAACAGTGTTTTTACTTGTGAGTTTAATTTATGGCATGTCCTATTTTTACCACTGGCAACCATTTTTTCCTCTCAGTGTAAATAAAGTATGTTAACGCGAGTAGTGCCTTTTTTTCATTGCAGAAATCCACAACGATATCTCCCATCGGAATGGCCGGCTGGTGGGTCAGTAATGTCGGACTCGAACCGACTAAAAACTGCAAATAGTCTCGTAGCTGGGGAACCAGGTGTAACCTAGAATGAAAATCCCTGGTACGCTAGTAGTACCCACTTCTACAGGGTGAGAGTACTCCATAAGACGCCTTTACTTATTGAAGAAGAGACAAAAAATCTGTTTATCTAACTAGACAACATAGTTGAAAACATTATAAGAAAAATACAATGTTAAACAAACAAATTGTAATAGGAATTTTAATGTTTCAATTTACTTTAATTAAACATGCCATTATGACTTACACAATCCACTTACATAGTTTCGACTTCTATATTTTATTTACATACTGTACCTTGACCCCAATATACTAATTGTAATCAGAAAATCCATAAAGAAATATAATATTTATGTGTTAAATGTGAAATTTACGTACGTGTTTTAAAACAATACACATACAAATGATTTTCCTCTTTTACTTTTTACACATCGTATGATCTGAAGCCGCGGTAGTCTATGGCTAAGGCATCAAACTTGTGATCCAGTGGTTTCGGGTTCGAACCCCATTCATCACATTAGCAATGAACCAACTCTTAACCCAAGCTTTTAGCATATTTGGGAGAATAAAAAAAAACCGCACACGTTACAGATCAGTGTTCTGTCGCTACGGATTTTTAAATAAAAATTACATGCAACAAAAATGAGGCTCTTACAAAATTGTGCTTTGCCACTACCATCCTGCCGTGATAAATATTTGACGTATCTTTCCCAACACTGAGTCAATTGGTTCGATAAATCTATAATCATGAAAATGTTCAAATCATCAAGTTGATCCAAATTTTGCCAAAAGATCAATTTCATCTAATTTATACTAACCCGTAAATAGGATGAAAGAGATTTTGTGATTTAATCTATACTAATATTATAAAGCTGAAGAGTTTGATTATTTGTTTGTTTGTTTGTTTGTTTGAACGCGCTAATTTTGAAAAATTCTTTACGATTACGATTACGATTTGAAAAATTCTTTCAGTGTTAGATAGCCCATTTATCGAGGAAGGCTATAGGCTATATATCATCACGCTAAGACCAATAGGAGCGGAGCACCAATGAAGAATGTTTCGAAAACGGAGAAAATTTATTACTATTGAGAGACGCAGACGAAGTTGCGCGGATCAGCTAGTGTGTCTATATTTGTTACTTAGTTTTATAATCCATATAAAATTGCAAACAATTGATCCAGAAAATGCAGACAGATTTTTGCCACAAAGTCGTCGAAATCGCAAGCGATCTTCAGAATACATGACACCAAGCAAAGCCGCGAAATAAGATTTGAACAATGTAATATACAATTATTATTTTTACATTTAAAGACCAAGTATTTAAAATTAATGTTTTATGTTTAATTTTTTCTTTCTATAATCAATACAATTACAAATTGCACAATCTTTTCACAATTAATTTAGACAGTATTTGTTTTTTAACCTATTAAAGGTTTTCGCAAGTCTCATAATTACTTTTGTTTTACATTAATACCAATAATAAATTGTGACTCAACCTGCACCTAATGTTGTGGGTTCGATCCTCATATTGGACAAAACTTTGTGTGTTCCACAAATTGTTGTTTAGAGTCTGGGTGTTCTTTGCCTAGGTTTCATGTATGTCTGTATGTCCTCTATGACACAGGATACATTCCTAGTACGGTAGTTGACTTTAACTAACTTAAATGTTATATTACCTGCAAATCCATAAAGGTACTTTGACCTAGACCCAAGCTTTCTAAGCCTGCTAGACCACCCAAAGAATTCAAACCAAAAGGTGTAGCTCCAACATCAGCTGAAACAATTAATAAAAAAATGTTAAATTCTCTATTATGTTGGCAGTTGACTAACCTAATTTACATATATTTGTTTTCTGTATAACTTACAAAAACTTTTGTTTTTTTTTTTTTGCACTCAAAAGTTAAAAAGTATTATGGGTATTCTACAACTGCAGTAGAGATTACATATCAATTAATTTAATTTTGACATGAGCTCTTAAAATTAGTTATATTTTAATATATTCTGGAGTAATATGACAAAGAATATAGGGAGCACTTTAATTAATCAGTAACCTATTTATAAACTGACAATCATTTGTCCTGCATAAGTTTCATAGTACAGACATAGATACACATAAATTAGTGAGTAATTAAATAAATGATGTAATATATAAAAGGAGTTGTGAAATCACTTAAGAATTCTAATTTGTTTTTACATTAAATTTAGAAACCTTTAGACTGGGAATGGTACAAATAAATGACAGAGTCATACTCAAACAAAGCAAATCAATCAAACAATACTGTATATCCTGAAATGTATTATACCCACTAGTATAGTAGTCACAAAGCTGTAGAATTTAATTGTTGTGGTACCAAGTTTCATGTAGTGGAAGTAGCATGAGTAAGGTGTCAATCTTGCAAACAAATGCTTGTTGGTTTAAGCCCCACAAATACTATTTTAATTCTCTACTATTCTAATTAATCATCATCATCATCAACAGCCTATACTTGTCCACTGCTGGACATAGGCAGAGGCCTATGTCCAGCAGTGGACAAGTCAACACACACACACACACACACACAAGGAGAGCCTTAGAAAGGAGGTTTTGGCCTACTATACCACGCTGGCCAGACGGGTTGGTATAGGATTTGTTTCAAGTTTTCCTTCTCTTTGCAGTGCTGTTGTCCTGCTTAGTTTGCTCCCTTAGTCGGCTCTTACGACACCCACGGGATGAATTGGGGTGGTGACAATTTGTATTCTTAATCCGTCACCACACACCACCTCTAATTAATAGAGGTGTCTTTATGAAAAGAAAAAAAACTATTTCTTACATTGATGCAGATTATAACTAGATGAACCACATTCTTCAGAGTTATCAAGTTTCACCTTAACATTGCAACTAAACACTTAAAGAGATTTCTGTTTCTTGGTATAATTACTTGGTCTTATTGTTTTGTGATTATTTGATAGATAACTTATTTGTTTGAGTGGAGATATTTCATCAGTCAGGCAATTCTAACTTAAACAGGTGCAACTATACAATCAAAACTGTACATTTTAAATAATACTTTAGTCATCAATAAATGTTACTCAATCATTTTAATATGATCATTCAAATTTCATGACACATAGCAGTAGTATTATAAATAAGCATCTTGAAATGACCTAGCTGCAGTTAATATACTTTAGTATATATTACATAAACAACATTAATAGAATATGTTTTTCTTTTTCATAACTTCAAGTACAAATATATGCATCAGTAGAATTAACGCCTAAGGCATTCTTTGCCAGTGGACCAATTGGGTGATGCAGAGAAAGAGTGTGGTGCACTTATGGGAAGGTAATATAAATGATAAAGGTTTTTACACACTTTATATATGAAATACTAACTATTTTGACCTTATTTTCACAGTTCTTTGAATCTATGTTTTGTAACACTGTTGTTATAAAATATTTTACTAATTCTTTGGCAGCAATTGTTTATTTGAGAAACAGGAATTGATGCTATATATATTGATGACATTTTCAAATGTTCAGTATTTCCACTTGTTTGCTCTTTCATAAACAGCTTATTTTGTTTTCTTAGTAATAATATGAATGTAAAAAATTACCTGGAGGGCGTCTTGTCGCGCCTTCTGGTTCTGGTCTTGGAGGCGTTTTTATCACGAGGTGGACTGTCAGACCATCTTTAATATTATGCTGTTTAAGGGTGTCGGCATCATTCAAGATCTTCCCGGCAAATATGAGACACAACTGCTCAGGTTCCGAACTGAATTTAGGGGACAACACATCCTTGAGCTAAAATTAAAGGAGAATTTCACTTTTACGTCGCCGAATTACAAAATAAATGTCGTCAGTGATTGCGTGTGCAATATCTATGTTATTACGCCATGAGCTAGGTTTCTGCTGGTGCCTTACTCACTTTTTTAACGTCAGCATCCTCATCAATCTCTACTTGCTGTTTTTCTTTTGGTGTTTTCACTGTAATAGTAATTTTTTTGGGTTCGTCCTGTCCCTCTGCCATTTTGGCAAATCTAGAATGACTCTGTACTTTGGCGGAAAAGCAGAAATATGTACAAGAATGTAGAATTTGACGATTTGTGTTAAAATTGACGGCTGAGGGTACAGCCCACTACGTAATGTACTACTTCAACGAATATCTCAACCCTAAATATTTTGAATGAATTTAAATTTTATGTAAATACATTAGAGTTTAATTTGATTCCCACGTAATATGTCTGAAGATAGCCGATAATCATGAATTTTTATTTAATTCCTTACTGGACCTATCTCAATTGACATAAAGTAAAATAAAGTGTTGCAAAGTAAGTAGATACTTTAACAGTTGTCTATGTTTTAGTAGTGAGGATTTAACATTTGAACCACATCACATCACATAGACATAAAATTATTGTTAGATAGCGGAAAGGCTTCTACAAGCAAGATACAATTATTTAGGCAACTAAAGACCTAATTTTCATATACAGACAGATCTTAATATTACGATTTAGGCAAATATTAGTTTTGTTTCTCTTGTTCATTTATTTTTTCACATTTATTTTTTTCATTTTACATATTGCTATATAGCGTTTTTTTAATTTTCTGATGAATTAATAATAGCATTACTATAAAGAATACACTACAATATATTAGACTGTACTACAATATATTAAATGTAGTGTTTTTATTTATACTCCAACTATAGGTACACACATATTTCTTTTTAATTAGTCAAATTGCGCACAAGATTGTGTTACGAGAATGTATCCGAAATTATTTACGTATTCAGGAAAAAGGCTTTTCATAATTTTCCGGAAGAAATACTTAAAACGGAAGTGAGGTAACAGATTAGTTTGACTGTTTGAAGCCTGACATGAAACAAAAACAAAAAACAGTTTTCAATGATGTCTCTCGATAAATTTTAATGAAGTAAATACATAATAAAGATTGGTGAGATGAGAATTTAATATCTATCAGAAGTAGAAAAGTCTGTTTCTTCGATGATTTTTGCTTCGAAACTTACAGTGCAATACCATTTTTTTGTTTCAGGTTTTGGTTGTTAGGATACTCATAACTATATAGATACTGAGTGATATTATTGCATGCCGTAGGATGACATATACGAGCGTTTAGCTCGTTCGTCATTATTAAATAAAGGCTACAAATGGAGGTAGGTACTTACAATAAGAGTGATAAATATTACATTTTTGAGATTTAATAATCATAAAACAGAAAAAAGTTTAACGTAAATATCATATTATCACTGGGCTAATAAATTACTTAAAAAGTCAGTAACTGTTACTGTCCTGTGTAAGGTTACTGATCCACTGAGCCCAATTAATTTAAACCTATGATTGTCATCTAGCAATGGTCAGTTCATTTAAATTTGAAGTTATTTTGACAAAATAAAAAATATGAATATTAAACCGACTGAAGGACGTCAACCACCATTAGAATCTCCAAAAAATTCGAGGCATTCACATAATAATAGGCCTTCGCCTTTCCTAGAAAGGAGTGTCTTCACACTCCTTTCTAGGAAAAAATTAATATAAATATCTGTCATGGAAATGTTGCCAGAAAGCTTATTTGCTGCTTGCCATTGGAGAGGAGCACTACAGTTGTAGAATGCATCACTATATTTTATCTGATTAACATCATTAAGAAGTGTGCTTTACTGCTTACCTGTTTTTTTTTTTCAAATTTCTAGCTAGATTTACAAGACACTTTCTTGCATGATGAGGATCAGCAGTCACTACACAGCCCAAAAGTAACATATTCAGTAGCGCATAAAAGAAAAAATGATAAAGGCCAGGGTGAGCCAATTTTTTTATCATTAAACTAACAAATTTAATCCAAGTATTCACCTATGCCTGCACACATTTGTAACACTGGATACCATACAACTCTTTAGCTTTAGTTGGGTGCAGATACACTATCTGCACCCAACTATCCATCATCCGGCATCCTTGTGAATTTAATTTTTATTTTCACTTAATATAAAATTCATCTTGAACCACATTATTAAATAAATATTTAAGCAGTTTTGAAATGCTTAAATAAATAAAAACCATTTCCTTTTCTACACTTTCTAGTGGCTAAGTGGTAACCAAGTAGGGTAACACATTGCAAAGTTAAGCAACGCTACTCAGGTCAGCCGATGGATGGGTGACCATTCTTAACACTTTTGAGACCTCTGTACCTCAGAGAGCATGATAAACCATCGATCCCGGTTGCTATACGAACATTTGTGGCAATTGTTACGGGTAGTTAAGCCCTAAAAAGTCCAACAAGTCTTTCTACAGAACTTCGATATTGCCTAGTACTTGGATGTGTAGGTCTGATGGCAGGTGTAACAAATCATAGTTCAGACGTATCGTTAGAGACTTAAAGTCGACGCCTAGATAATTTGGGAAAAAGTCTCTGAGGAATATATGATATCCAGACAGAATAATTTATATACCTATATGAAACATAAAATTATAGAACAGAGAAAAGAGAACTGAAAGATTATGTTGGATGATAAGTGTTTACTATGTAAACTGCTTAAATAACTTAATAATAATAAATTGTAAAATTAAATGACCCATTAACAAAAATATCATTCCTAGAAAGTTACCCTGGGGCAGACTGAGTATGGCATTGTAATTACACTGTTAATTGTACTTCCAGTTATATGTTTTGATTAAAATGCAAACTTGTTTGAAAATAAAATGTTTTTTAATTTAAAACAGTAGTCATTTCAATTTCCACTTTATATTAATGAAATAATAAACATTATCCGAAACAGATGAAAAAATAGTAACTGATCAACAAGCTAAAGAAAAGGAGCAAGCAGAAAATATTGCGTCATTGCTAATGTCTAACTATGATATGAAATTATATGGAGAAGATGATACATCACAACCTACATCCCGTACAGCACCTATCATACCAATAGAGGCCACACGCAAGAAGAAGAAAAGAAAGAGGTAGACCCATACAAATTGATCTTAGAAAACCTCATTTTGTTGTAATTTCCTTCCCTATTAACTAGCTAGCTAAGTTCATTTGTGTTACCTATGTTCGTAATTACTTAGAAAAGAATTCAGTGCATCAGAAAGTTAGGACAAATTGATATATCTTACCTGAGTGAGTGTTCTCATTCTCCATTCTCTACCTGCAATGTTGTTAGAAAGTTTATATCCATATCTATTTACATTGACTGCTTTAAAATGTCATGTACTTAATAAATATTAGGGGTGAAAGTATGAAATTGCCAATTAGTACTGAAAAATTTAAAGTCGCGTTTACTAATATGTAACATATTTATTTAATGAAAATATTTACCCTGATTTTCTATACATTGTTGCCATCTAAACGGAAGTTCATTTATGAATTTACGATAGAACTCTGGAGATCTAGATTCCACAAACTGTGAAAGTATTTTGTACTGCCTCCTGGGAAGATTTTTTTTTATGACGTAGAAAATTGACCAAATTACGAAAAACATCTTCTTCGCATCGTCTTAGCTGAATTAAAAAAAAAAAACAATTGAAAGACGAACATCGAATGTTGCACATTTTTTAAAAGAAGAGCCTTATAAGCCATATGTATGATGTGAAAAAAAAATCACACGAAAATCTTACACCATGAAGGTTTCATGTCAACTCGAAAGTATCTATTACTATACAAAGGCAATTTTATACTTTACCCCTATTACTTGCGGAGTCTATACCATTGCGGAAAGAAAATGAAAGCGAAATATTATCAGTTATTCTTAAGCAGATTTTATTTCAACAAATAGTCTTGGTCTCAGATCTCAAATATCAATATGCCTTACGAATTGCCGCTATGAGTCAATACGGAAGGTAGCCAGTGCCTTTGGAATGCGAGAGGTATCAGAAGAAGAAGCATGGAACTTTTACTGGACCGACATGAGCGTCTCTGTGGAAAGAGCTAAGGAGATGAAACGTTTTCAGCGTATTAACCATTTTCCGGGCATGCTCGAAATCTGCAGGTGTGCAATTTTGATTTCAGTAGGTATAATGTACACTTTCCAACTCCTTCAACTCTGGTTATATATGAGAAATTCTCTTAAATCTTTATGCTTATGCAGTATTCCACGACGTTGAAACTTGTTCCGTGGAGTATGAAATCGAGAAGTGTAGCGTTAGTGCTAGACAGAAATTAGGTGTTTGTTTGATTTAAAATTATCTAGGAACTTCAGAATTACGTCACGGTATCTTTGTTGTCCGCGACAACCCTTATCCCACCATACGGCTCGTGCAGTGTGCCACCGATGATGCGCGATCACGCCGACTCGCGGCGACTTGATAGAACGTATAGAACTAAATGGCTCAGTGCAGCGAGCCCGCGACTGGTGACAAGTGGTTAAGTGACGGCCAGTCGCCAGAGGTGTATTGCGACTGCGCAGCGCAACTTTTTTGTTTTCTATTTTATTATAAGAGCCGTTATAGATGCAGTTCTTAAGAACCCGTAAAGCTGCTCCTTCTCATCCTTCTGATGACTTGAATCCGTAAAACAGAACTTTCCAACAACGAAAGTTCCGTTACTAAATCCATTTTTGCTCTAAATACTCTTCTTCACTAAGCCAAACAATAACTATGTTCAGTACTAACCCCAAATAGGTAACTAAATTATGAATTGCTATTGATCGGTCGCAAGTAGTCGCCGTTCTGGAGTAGTAGTAACTAGAAGTATGATCGGTAGAAGTATTCATCCTTGTCTATTCAGCCAGAAAGAGTAGCTTAAAATTTATAGTTCATAAGAAGTTTGGATGCACCTCCTAGTTGGTCGCTCCATTATGGATGGACGCATCTGCGCTAATCATGATTATGACCATTTTTTCTTTTCATCGTTATTCGATTATTATTCTTATTTCTGTTTTATAATTTTCATTTTTTTATTTCAGAAAAGATCTTTTAGCACGTAATCTGAATAGAATGCAAAAAATATATCCTAAAGAGTATAATTTCTTTCCAAAAACTTGGTGTTTGCCAGCAGAGTAAGTCGAGTCTTCCTTTTTTCTTATGTAATGTTAAAATAGTAGGGACTTTTTTTTTGTTATCTGACGAACTAATCGAATCTTATTTGTGGATTAGAGTGCGAAAGACCGGCCTATAAATTGGATGGTTGATACATGACTGATATTTGATTGTTGTGATTGATGAGTAACTTAACATTATGCTGCATGCTGTCTAAATGTAGTTTTTTACTGTAAGGCACTAATACTATAACTATAATACTACTATAACTACTGGCACTCACTGTAGTAGTAGTATAGTTATAGTTCTGTAGTAGTATTTTTAATATAGATCACTCAATTTTCAGTTTCGGTGAAGCCCTGAATTATAGTAAATCTCGTAAAAATAAAACATTCATAATAAAACCTGAATGTGGGAGCCAGGGACGCGGAATATACTTGACCAAGTCATTGAAAGATATCAAACCTACGGATAAACTTATTTGTCAGGTATTTTTCTATATGTAATAGTCATATAGGCTTCGATATACAAACAGAGGAGCAGGGCGGAGAGAGGGGTAGTGTACGAATTCGTACGTGATTTGGTTGATTTGTGACTTTTGTACACTTTACAAAAATATAAGTAGAATAACATAGGTACACCTTATTACCAGTGTGCAATATGGATTGGTGGAATAAACACAAGTCGCGTAGTAGTATAAAATCGCTGATTAGACAAGCTTAAAATAATTATCTCAGTGAAGAAATCGGGTTTTACATTAAGCAGCACACTCTTATTTTATCTGAACACCACCTACAATGTACAAAACCTCCACTGCTCCACCAGCTATCTGATATCACTGTAAGTACAGATCTTTCCAACTCTTGGTTCAATGTGTTTCTGATATTTCTATAAACTGAAGAAAAAAATATATTTAATGGCAATCTACTAACACATTTTGTTATTCAAATCTAGAAAAAATTACGACCAACCGACGATTAAAAAGTTACGACCAACAAAACCCGTCTTTTGAAACAATTTCCACTGATGTCTTGCACCGGTCTACTGCAGGTTTCTAACGAACATTCATAAATGCATGTTAATCTTAAAAGATAGATGATCGTTGCTGAATTGTTAATGTGTCGTACCCCAATATTTTTTTCCCGCCACCTCCAACTATCATCATCATATTTCATAAAACTTATATAAAACTTTAATGAAAATTCGTTTGGTCCTTTGAAATGGGAGAATTTATTTAATAGTGTATAATGAAGTTCATATTTGTTTTAGGTGTACCTTTCGAAACCTTATTTAGTGGACGGCTACAAGTTTGACATAAGAGTTTATACACTAATTACGTCTTGTGATCCGCTTAGGATCTTTGTTTATAATGAAGGCCTTGTGAGGTAAGTTACTTACTATACAGTAGAGTAGCCTGCACTCTCTCTATTCATTACATTAATTTTTTAAAGCCTATTGAGCCTATTGCCTCTGGCTTTGCATTAATCCTGTTAAAGCAATTATAATATTCTTTTTATTTCCGTTGCAGTTTTTTCATTCAGTCATTGATAAAAAATACTATACGTATAATATAAATAATGTATATTCTTAGGTTCGCCACGAGTCGATACGCGGACCCTAACGTGAATAATACAACTAACGTTTTCATGCATCTTACTAACTACGCACTGAATAAGCATAGCCGTACTTACGTCTATGATTCAGAAGCTGGCAGTAAACGGTAAGGTATACACAGGTGTTGAAAAAGTTGTTATTTTAAGTTCATTTCTTGTACTAATAGGCTTCTATCTAAGTTATAGTTATGATCCTAACCGCACCATACCTGCATTACAAAGATATTGACTTCGTTTATATTAGGACGCAAGGAAAAGATTTATTTTGGCATACAATTACTTTCGGTATTTTTACCTAAACTTCAATTTATCGAACTGATCATAAATTAGCTTCTTGTAATCCTACTTTCTAATGCCTTATGTAATGCACCTTACCCTACCTACGTCTTCACATTTTTAAAATAAAAATATTTTTGGAGGCAATGTATCAAAAACAGGTGTACCCCAGGGAACGAACGTGGTTCCTTTAACACAAAGTGACGAAATTTTTTACCTTCATTAGCAAAATATCTACGTTAAACAAGATCCTGTTGTCACAAGGCGTGGACTTAGACAGGCTGTGGCATGCCATAGACCAAGTGATTGTGAAGACTATTATTTCTGCGTGGCCGATACTCAAGCACAGTTACCACGCGTGTTTCCCATCGCACGATATGGTTTTTTTTACTATACTATATCTCACTTGAAACTAACATTATGATCATTTATGTAGGCTTAGACTTTATCATTTACCATATAAAGATACATAATTAATGGTTTAATATTGATAAATTAGAGAGCTTTTGACGACGACGACAACGACACTTTTGACAGAAAATTACATAAGCGGATCAATTAGTACCGACTTTTTAACCATTACTTAATACTTTTTTCATACCTTTATGGTCGTTCTACGGTACAAACATTTTGAGTTGGTTGAACTGTTTATGTTTTTGCTGTGCCAAAACATTTGATAAGGAAACCGTACCGTCGCATTCTGTAAGTCCGTGTCGTGGACGTATGACTATTGTATTGTTCTTAAATAACTGAGACTGTTTGATAGTCTATTTATTTGGTCTTATTATTATTGTTCACTTCACTTCGATCTGTTTTTAGAGAGTACATTTCAGCATCTAGATATATTAACTTGCATATAGAACGTGTTTTACATCATGTTTAGTCACTTTTCATATCTCTAACTATAAAATATATGGATATTCAGAAGTACATAAGTACCTAATCTTCTTGGTTGTTAAATGATATCGCAATTTCAGTTACCTACTGCAAGACATCTATTTACAATAACACAATTTCTCACAACACAAACTCATCTTTTTTTAAAATTATCATTGTAATTTATTTACAAGCAGGAAGTTATTAATTTGAAGCATACTTTTGTACACCTACACGACTAAAATGTCTTGACAAATATACCAATGCATTAAATAATGCCAACAGTCCTATTAATTAAATATTTCCAATTTGATTAATTTTTTCCTAAATTTCTTGTTCAATTTGTTTCGTTTATTTAAATTACAAAGTAAAACTCAAAGCTATATCAACTGTCCTTTGTAATGGCTAATTTTACATATTCAAAAAAACTACTTTGAAAGTTCATTATAGAAAATGTGATCCCTAGATCATCACTTCCACAATGTAGGTAACAGTAAACTACTTAAAAAAAGGTAGGACTTCCGAATTCGGTTGTAGGTATTTTTTTATGTCTTACCTCTTAACTCCATCATCCATTCTCTTGTATTTGGGAAGGTATACTTCTCCTTTGGTAACATTCAAATTAGAAAATAAAATACCACCCCTGGGGGTGGAAAATTAAAAAATGAAGAATACAGTTTGTTAAAATACATCGTGGTGTAGGTGCATTGAATTCTGTAATACTTTTTTAAAAGTTAATTATTATTATTTGGGTCACGAGACAATTAACTTTGGGAAGAACTGAATCTATTGAGATATTCATCTGTACATAGTTGTCATATAGGCATTTGTAGTTACTACTGAAATGCTTTCGCGTCCCATAAAATCTCAAGAGGACTCTTTTTCCGCACAATTTTTCACAAAATTATATGTGAGTATTGCAATACCTAATTATTCATACGTCATGCCCCATAGATGATGATGATGATAAGGTCAGTACAAGATGGCGTCAGCGACCATTATGTTGATTACCTTTTTTTTCATCAGAAATATTATGTAGTATGTAATGTTGTTTCTATGTATGTAATATTTTACAAAATGTAGTAATGAAAGTAGATAGTATTTTTTCTGTCTAACTTGGTTTATTCCCAGTGGTTCCAAATAGCCAGTTCCTAGTGGAACAAAAAAAAAACAGAAGAATATTTTAATCTAAGAGGTAGATCCATAGCAGCAACAATATCGCTTACTTTTCATACAAACTCCAAATACTTGCTGCCTAGCTCCTTTGAGTAATAGCGTGATACAATGTACCCTATATGCTACACAGAACTACGGTTAACCTAAATCCAAAGTTTCGTTCAAATTCGTCTAGCGGTTTTTACTACATAGCGGTTCTTTACTATATTTTGGTGTCTATTACATCTAAGAATCTTTTTTTTTTTTATTTATTTGCCATGTAGGTATAATATCACCTCTCTAACAGTTTTATTATAATACTAGCTGACTCGCGCAACTTTGTCTGCGTTTTAAAAGGAATACATTTTCCTCGTTTTTGCAACATTCTTCATTGGTGCTCCGCTCCTATTGGTCTTAGCGTGATGATATATAGCCTATACCCTTCCTCGATAAATGGGCTATCTAACACTGAAATATTTTTCAAATCGGACCAGTAATTCCTGAGATTAGCGCGTTCAAGAAAACAAACAAACAAACTCTTCAGCTTTATAATATTAAGTATAGATGTGTAGATAGTCTTTTTTTTTTCTAACGATCAGTAATTTTTCCAGACTTTCTTTTGTTATTTTGGATAAAAAAGTTTGAAAATAAAATAATTTCAATTTAATTAATGTCAGATGTAAAGGTACTATAAAATCACATGGAATAAATGGTACAAAAATATCATATTAAGGTTACATGAGTGCCATGTGGAAATGGGTTCGTGGAACTACTGGGAATAAAACTCAAACTTGTACAAGGGTTTGGACTAATATTTATTTATTTACGTCTTAGAATCGTTTAAAATTAGATTTTTATTGTACCCTCTATTCAAATTAACACCGTTTACTAAACAGGTGCACGCGTGTTTTGAAATTCTTGGCTTTGATATACTTCTGGATCACAAGTTGCATCCTTACATATTAGAGGTAAGTAACAATAAATTATATTAATATGAGCTTTCAGGCATGAATTTAAAATACTATATAACTTTAAAGACGTCCTTAAAGTTCGGAAACAGATCATCAAACGTGAGCGTGGATTATCAAGGATTATGAATAAACATTTTAAAAATCGTCAAATAGCATAAAACTTGGATTATTAACTCTTTTTTTGACGGCGTGGAAAATCCCTTCGGTTCTCCGGCTCCTTGGGAATGTAGGAGCCAGCAGTATGTGGGGTTTCCACTGAAAACCACCCCGACCGCCGGACTCAGACACCCTACGCCGAGGTGGACCCAGACCATGTTATTTCAGGTCCCCCCCGGATCAACGCCGCGCCTAGTAAAACCCTATCTCGGGGAATCTGCGGGCTTCCACTACCTATCGGCCCAATCCTTAAAATATTTTGCGGCCCGATCGCATTATTGCGACCAAGCTGCCAACCTATCGCCTAACGCAGCAGTTAATCTGCCACCAAAGGTCCCCCTCTGGCAGCCTGCGGCCCCGTTGACGGCTGGTATCGCCGCCGACGTCCTCTATAATCGGGATCGGCCCTCTCCCGATCCCGTTCAGCGGTCTCTTTATGGAGCATTACAGCTTTACAGAAAGAGACCACTACGCCCTAGCCCTCCTCACTCGCCAGCATGGCAGCAATGATTGTTGGTGGGGAGAATTATTAACTAACTTAGAGGACGCTAAAGCGAAGAAATTGTTCTGTAAAACTAATTTGTAGGTCAATCACTCCCCGAGCTTTCACACAGACACACAGCTAGACCGCGAGGTGAAGGAGGGTCTTCTCACTGATACTTTCACGATGCTCAACATTTGGCAGTGTGACAAACGACGTGTACTAGAAGAAGATCGAAAGAGGATACGCGACAGGTTGCTGCAGACTAATAAGTGGGTTGCGAATTACGTATTATGCTTCTAAATAAAGGGGTTTGAATTAGGCTTTTAATACCTGCAAGAGGGTCCTAAATATGGGTTTGTATAGCTAAAGTGATACGAAAGTTCAACTCAAATAGTTGTTTGACAATGATTGTTATACTATACCAGTTTCTACATAATCTGCTCTATGACGTAATTTACTAATGTTTTTTTTGTGTTATTTTTAAAAGAAGTAAGAATTGTAGATAGTCTACTTTAGTTTGGGCACCGGTAACCTCACTCGCTCAGTGGTCGAGCCTGACTTACAACTGAGTATAATTATAGTTTTATACTGATAATTTTGAAGTATGCCAACTTTTAGGTATATGTATAAAAGTATCCTAGTGCATTCAATTTTTTAACTGGGTTTTCACATCACACATAATAGGCCGCTGCTGGACACAGGCCTCTTCTTAGAAAGGAGGTTTTGGTCTACTATAGGTACCACGCTGGCCAGGCGGGTTGGTATAGGGCTTGTGTCAAGGTCAAGTTTTCCTTTTGTTTGCAGTGTTCTTGTTCTGCGTAGTTTGCTTCCTTAGTCGCCTCTTACGACACCCACGGGATGAATAGGGGTGGTGACACTATCCGTATTCTCTTAATCCATAACCATATGAAATGGGTTTTTCTAGTGTTGTAATTGTGTATAAAGTAGTTATATGCCTAGATAATATTTTACTAACAATCAAGTGTTAGTAAAATAATTTGTATATAGTTACCCTTACGAACACAGGTTTGCTGATTTCACGCCTACAGAAGATAAAGAGCCAGAAAAAAGTCCATGGCAGACGCAAATACAATGGGAAGAAACACATCTTGGAAACTATAGGTGAGTAATATTCAAAGTTTAACAATTATAGTGAGTATTTAATATGGGAGATATCGGTAATTATTTCAGGAACTATTTATGGCAGATTTTTTTTTCGACTGCGACGTAAATTAATACAGTAATCGTTTAGTTGTAAGGAAAAGAAAATAGGCGATGAATCTTTTTAAACTACCTCATTCGTGCATCATTTCATTCACTCGATGTAACTATTATATTAACTATTAACTCGACCGGATGGCGTAGTGGTTTGTGTCGGACTGCTATTCCAAAGGTCGCGGGTTCGATTCCCGCTCAAGTCAAACATTTGTGTGCATGAACATTTGATGTTTGATTTGGTCTGGGTGTTTCTATGTATAATATGTATGTATTTACAAAAAAAAAAAAGAAAAAAAAAGTATATATGTATTTATATCAGTTGTCTAGTACCCATAGTACAAGCTCTGCTTAGTTTGGGACTAGATGGCGTTGTGTGTATGTGGTAGAATATTATTATTATTATTTATTATTATTATGTATAAGTATAAAATGTCGATCTTCCCTTAAGTAATGGTACGTGTATGTATAGTTAGAATATTTGTGTATATTACAGACGCGTATACCCTGTGGGTGAGCAGTACGCGTCGCTGTTCCAGCAGCCGTCGGGCTCACTGTACACCGGCACAGCCTCTTCACGGGCCAGGGGCGACTGCACGCGCATACAGCGTGAGGAGTTTCAGGTAACATGCCTGTCTACGTAAAATAACAATGAGGTCTTTTTTAAATTTGTTTTAATTTTATCTTAAGGCAAAACAGTAAACGAACTGAAAATTTACTAAAATTTTATTCAAGGATGACATTCCAATTTGTGATGTTGATATCGTTAGTATAAAAACATTAGGACGGTTATATTTTATCCATTTTATATTTACAGCAAACAAAAGCCAAAGCGGAAGCTCTGAAGAAACCATCTCAGTCGAAATCTACTAAAGAAACGGAAAAAAAACCTGGTGAAGAAGGTAGTACCACGACGACATCTGTGACTGTTGCCTCTACCGCTACCGCTGTGGACAAGGCCGCTAAAGCAAAGGCCCGTCTTGAAAAGGAACAGAAACGCAAAGAAAAAGAAGAGAGAGACAAGAAATTAAGCGGCAAGACTTCGCTTGTTAGTGCCTCACAAGCTGCGGTCAGTTAAATCCTGATTATACCTAAATGTAAAAATTTGTTAATTGGTTTACGCTTTGTCGCCTTTACTACTTAACCTAACATATGGATATTAGAAATAGGTAGAAGTTCTCAGGGCGATAGAAATAAACAAAGGGTACATTTTATTAAGAAATAATGTTCTTAAAGTATATATATATATACCCTGAATCCTTGACAAAGCCTACAGTACCACGAGTGTTTAAAAGCTAGTATAACAGATTTCTTATTGTTGCCAATGCTAATTTGTTAGTAATCATCAATGACGACACTTAATTTTTTCGTTGCACAGCCCGTAGAGAACATAAAGCCGCCATATGTGCTGTGTTCATTCGAGCCAGACCCAATAGTAGAGAAAGAGGAACGTGAGCGAGTTAATCTGCTTGCACAGAGAGACTTCCTTATACGAAGTTATGGCATGTTAGAACAGGTGAGTCTTCATTTATCCTTAATTATAAACGAATTTTCTAAGTACCTAAAAGTACCCTAAATTGCGATAGTACCCTAATTGACTTCAGCTACCGTTACGACTGTATCGAGAAAATGATCCGGTGGATATTCGAGGTTTATCCAACTCATATCAAACGACAATAATCAGAGCTGATCACCTTTCCGAAGACCCTGATAGACCTTGGCCGCCTCCGTAAAACCATTGTTTGTGTACTTTATTGAAGTCTCAACTGGAATGAGTCAATAGTGCTGGATTTTATATTGCAAAATACCATGTATGATAAATGTTGGGTAGTGCTAGTACCTACCACTGTTAGTATAGTACCTGTAATTTAGATTTTTAACACTATTTGTTTTCCGACACAGATTTACTTAGTTATGAAAAAAATGGGAACACTACGGCCAGAAGATGAACGGAAATACGGCGTTTATGGAAGACTTTCCGTTGTGTCGAACTCGCCCAAGGTAACAAAGAAAGTATGATTATTTTCACATGTTCTAAGATAACGTTTACAATCTATTTCATTTTATAAGAAAAATATTGTGTACTTTTCCGAGGCAAAGAACGAAATATCAAAAAATCTGTCTCGATGAAATCTATCTCTTCCTCTCACCATTAAAAAATGTATATTAAAAGGTTAATATCGCATGGTTCGATTATAGCGAATTTTGCATAACAACCATGTTTTAGTAGCTCTTTTCATTGACCAACATAAGGCATAATAAACAAAAAATATATTTCTATTCACGTAAAAAGTTGCCTTTGCCTGCAGAAAGTGTGAATGTATAATGCTGCTGAAAAAAATAAGCTATAATATAGAAAAATTAGATGTAAGAAATTAAAGAAGGGACAATTAAAAATTTTATGTACAGACCGCCGTCAAGAAAATTAAAACAGATAACCAAATGCCAAAAACCGTAGAGATAACGTTGGCGGAGGTGAGTGTACTTTTTTACTTAACCATTGATTATAAACGCAAGTTAACGCGAGTATTAACGCAAGTTTAGTTTAGTTAAGGGTAACATGATATATATCTACAACAGTATTTTGAAATAGAGAATATGGTTCGAGAAGAAAAATTACTTTAATGTGGGTAACTAGAATTATACGACCGACATACGACATTCTCATGCAGCTTTAGGTTAATTAAGGTCAGTGATTTTTATTGACAACCAGGGCCGCTGTGAAAGCGCTGGAGAATTTAAAAAGAAACTGCGTATACAATAATGTGAGATTCAATAAAATTGTAGGGATATGATTTGCCTGGTGCTATAGGTCAGTAGTCAGGACCACTAACCGTTTAATCTTGACTGCTGTGCCAACGAAAATTTATCCTTTGTCTGGGAGTAATTTATTTACGGAATGTATATATTTAGTAATATCTCAGTACGTATATAACTATGGTTATCAGTAGTCTGACTACCAGTGTGGTACTGTACTGGATTTGATTACTATGGGATCAATCAGTCGTTTGTAAGCTGTTTTAAGCCAATATTCTTATTATTCCAAATACCTTAAAAGTTTATTTTACTTTATCATCAATATTGTGCTATCATCTAGCTATATCGTAGGTTGAGTAGCTTTAAATTATGTTCTAATAATTATACCGTAACAGGACCCATTCGCAGAACGTCCGGTTCAGAAAATAGACACTAAAACGTCAACGGCTCCTCACCAAAACTTAAGTATGTTAATATTTATATTTGCGTAAAACCCTTACTATTTTATGTAATATATTTATAACATCAGCCATCTGTCTGTAAATTTCCCATGGGAATCGGTCTATTCGTTTAGGAGATTAACCAAAACACAGTTTTTTTTCGATAAATACAAAGTTGACATCCAGATGCATTTAGTAAAAAACTAGAATAGCATTACAAATACACTTGAATATTATTAATTTTAATAGGTACCTGACAGTAATGGATGGTATTATAGTATGTACCACCTATGTAGAGTACGTATAATTTACTATGTCATATCTATACAAATAAATAAAATTGAAGTGTATCTTTGTAATATGAAAATAATAGGTTTTTTCATGCTCACACGATAAACACAATTAAAAAAAATTGTCTCTTTGTTCCGGGTAAACTTCTAAACGGCTGGACCGATTTTGATAATATTTTACTACCAGGAACTGTCTCTATAAGGAGTAACTTAGACTATTTTCCTCCCAGAAAAACCCCTTAAAATTTTGCCCGGTCCGGGAATCGAACCTACTCAAGCACCGCTTTTCGAATTCTACGCAAACGAAGTCGAACCAGCTAGTAGGTTTATAAAGAAAAGTGAATGGTGACTGTTTTGTACAAACCTAAATGATTTTCAACACCCAATTAATTAATACCCGTAATATAATGTCTTAATTGGGTGTCTACACACAGTAATAAATTAATAGTATTATATATTTGAGACTTTAGAGTCATATTTTGTAAACTTATTTTATTATCACTGTAACGCAGCTTTATCAAACAAAAATTAATAAATCTTCTTATTCTACTCTCCTAGAGAAATCAAGTAAAGTTACTATTATCGATAGTGCACAGCAAATAATTCCCTAAACCAAAATATTACAATCAATATTATTATTCCATTACATATTTTCTGATGAACATTTATTTCTCCACGACCTTTAATTGGTTTGTTTGGTAATCATCACTCACGTATGCTCTTGTAGTTACCAGAATTTACCGACATCCTAACAAGGACTAAATCAGCACCTGGCGGAGGTCAAATAGCAAAGATAATTGTATCGGATTTCTAATTAACAATTCGTGTAATAAAACTTTTCATAGTCCGATCACTTTTCAGATTGACAGCCATTGATTTTACAACGAGCTAAATGGGAAGATGAAACATAATGACAAGCGCGATGTTTCAGTGACGTCGTCGTGTTCACATTGTGCTCTTTATTGCGAATGCCAGGCTCCAAAGTGAATGTTGAGGTATCTAATATAGTCGTAACATTAATAAAAAACTATTGTAAACAACACCAGCTTGCAATAGGAATTATTTTTATATCGTTATTTCTTTATAACGCTCTTGTGATCATGTTAATCTTCAATTACCTGTAATCCTTTATTATGTAGTTTAATTTTGTCGAAAATGTTCTGTAAATTCTAGTGCCTCCATATATAAACTGTATCAAAAAAAAAATTGCTGTTTTCTAATTTTAAAAATTATTAATCCTTATTGTTTTTATATATGGAAAAAATAAAAGTATATTTTAATACCAATCCTTGCATTTTCTTTTGAACATAAAATTTAATTTCCGTATCATATCAATGCGTAGGAAACACAATTCCAGCGTATCGTAATGAAGCGTACTCTTAAATGGAATAATTAGAAAATATGATAGTACTTTTCAACTGATACGAAATTGCTCCTAGAAGCCAGTGAACGCCCCAGGAGGAGAAGGAGCTGGGTTGGCTCACCTAGCCACGACGCATAAAGGACCGTCCCTGAGTCTAGATGCAGAAACCGGAGCCTACCACCAATACCCGTTCTTTTCAACGGATGATATAGATAGTTCAACTCAGTTGTGCGCGCGGCCCTATGTGTGCGTGGGCTTGTAAATATACAACTTTCATTCGTATGGCAGTGACGCGGCAGTCGTCTTCCGAGCAGCTATCTATAATCATTGTGATTTGATTAGTATAATTCAATCATCAGATTTCATGTAGTTGGCCCCCGTCGCGTCGTCTCGAAGACCACTCAACTACTACTCATTCGCAACCACGAAGCCAATACAAAGGTGTTGTAATTAGATTTTCCTATGAAACAACGCATGATAATTTGCGGGGTGAGGGGGTTTTAAGCTCCGCCCACTTCACTTTTTCCATCTACCAAATAATAGCAAAACTACTCGCATTGTTCTGTCAATGTTGTTATTTAGTTTAGCTATCTGACACTAAGTGTAGGATGTAAGGGACGTTCTCCGAATTTTCGTACCAATGAGTTTTTTTAAGATTAATTTTCTGTACCATCTTGATCTATTGCAAAAAATTTACTCATATTATAATCGTACTAACCTCCCTAATATTATAAAAGCGAAAGTTTTTGTATTCATTCGTTCTCGATACTGTGTATTTTTGACGCTGAAACGGCTGCACGAATTTCGATAAAATGTGGTATACAGATAGTTTATTACCTGGTCAGGCGCTGGGTATTGCTAGTGTGAGAATAAAAACGTTTGTGGTAAATTACGAATAACGATTATTTCTCTTATTTATTCCTATTTTATCGTTATTTATGTGTGTACGGCTTATCTATTTGTCCTATTGTCACCCATAGTTAAGTATACTTAATATCCCCTCACCCCTCAAATTGTCACGTGTTGCTTGATATGTAGATAAATCTAATTACAAAACCTCCTCTTTGTATTTGAAAATTTTAAGAATGTCACTTATAATTTAAAAATTTCGTAAAAATCAGCCTAAGTACAATTTCCCTAATTTTCATCTTGAAGTACTTTATTGGATTAACATTGGATTTATTTAAGTATGTTTTTCTAGTTGATGATAGATGACAGTCTGTTCACATAATGATTACTAAAAATCGAAATATATTGTTTTGGCGATTAAAAATTCTTTAGGACTGAGTGCAGAACATTTCAGTATTATCTGACTAAAGCTAAGTTTTACGTACCTTTGTATTTTAAGTTTAACTTACACGAAGTTTAGTCATCTACTGACGAATAGTAGTAAGTAACTATATTTCAAAACACACGAGATTTTACAGAACTATTTTAATAAGTATAAAATTACTTACAAATGAAATGCGATGCCATCCATAGCCACAAAACGTTTTTGCGAATTAGTATGGACGGTGAGCGTACTAAATTTGAGCACGTCAGGACCTACTTAGAATCACATTGCACAGTTGCTTATGCCTTCCTCTTTGCATTTGCTCCGTGCTCGCACCGCATATCATGTCTAGAACGTGGAATTGGTTTATTTAGTCTTTTCAACCATGATTTTTTCAAAACTGCTTTTCTAAGGAGAAGCCTATGTCCAGCAGTGGACTATTACCCTCTTATAAGCCGCGAAATGCAGCTGCACTTTAAAGTGCCTTTACTATTAATTAAAAAAAACTGCGTGTTCTAATTTAAATCCACATTGTTTTATTTATCCAGTTAACACTAATATAAAACCAAATCTGAGATTATTATCTATCTCAGATCACAATATTACTTTCTGCACTTTATACATAAATTCTTACATACTTTCTATAAATTCACCAAAAGGGTTGTTTGATCACAGCTATATTCTATTGTTCAGTTCTCGCAATGTAAAGCCGATTCAAATAATATTGTTAAGTAACATTTATAAAGAAAGAAGAAACTCTTCAACTTAAATGTCTTAAGTTTATAATAAGACAATGTTGTAAGTTAGTCACTGCTGTCTGCATTTATTACTCTCCTAAGTAACAGTGATCAAACAACCCTATCATTAAAGTCACAATTATCTAGCATTCAAAAATTGCACTTTCTATAATTGTACTAAGCCCAGCAGTACAAAAGTATGTCTTAAATTATTAGCTAGTCAAAACTGTAGTCTCTTGGCTAAAGATCCACCATCAATGTTCTCCAGAAGCTTTCTTTTTAGAGATGGCTTTTCAGTCTCCACCTTGCAGATGCTGGAGGGCATTGGTAACTTAGAGCCCACTGAAGGTGCTGGCTTGTTGCTGTAAAAATTTAGATTGAGAAGCATTATTCTACTCAATATTTTTCATTATATTACTTCTTATTACTCTATAGTTCTATCTATATGAGGGTGAGTAAAATAAGGGTCATTGGGTTGAAAGTGATATCATATACTAGGTAAAATTTGCATAATAATTTATTAAAGTTACCTGAAATATGTCATCTGTAACGCCTGCGTACAATCACATCGATTTGGTGGGTATAATGCTAGAAGGCTTTCCATAAGTTGAATCAAGTCATCTCCAGCAGCACTAAATATATGACGAAGTTGCTGTGGTGGGAATTGCTTAAACTGGACGTAGTCAGTTAAACCTTTCATACCCTGAAATACCAATGTTATTATTAAGATTTTTTTGAATCATAATAAACACAAAACTGCTTTTTGCGCCCTGTTATACTATTCTTATATTTAATGTATCCCACGAATCATCATCATCAACAAGCTTTTATAAATAAATAATAATAACTGCGAAATTCCAATATGTATATAGTAGTAAAAAGATGTTATCCCATAGATTCTTGGCACTAGTTATAAATTATTTTATAACCACAAGGCCCACATAAAACCTTATCATAACTTATTAGTCCAGTCATTTTAGTAAGTTCACCTCGGAATTCGAGATGCCCAGCTGTAAGTCTTTAAATACTTGTATATTGACACCCTAAAAGTTGTCTCAAAACCTATATATGGTAGGGTGTAAGCAACTAATAAATTTCAAGGTCAAAAGTCACAAAAATCGTTTTTTTGCGCTTTTTTTGGAAATATCTCATTTCCTATGGGTTTTTGCTATTTGTATTTATTATCAATATTGTAGAATACAAAATTCCCTACAAATTTTGTTTAAAATTTTTTTTATACGGTGAACCGTTTTCGAGATAGAGGGCGTAGAGCGCGCGGTCACAGCATCACTTCAGGTCAACCGGTGCCTCCGGTCGAAAACGCGCCATGTATAGTTGATGAACTATCGATAAATCAATGATTATAAATAAAAATTGTTCGGCCCAGAGATTATTAGACTGGAACTCAAACCTTATTGGCAGTCAATAATGCTCCGAAATCTGTGAAAAGTCTCGATCATCTTCGTTGTATGCATTACGTCAAGTCTACAAAACTTAATAAACCTGTGCAGCTTTCAAATATTACACCATATACAAGTATTTACAGACTTACAGCTGGGTATCTCGAATACCGAGATTCTTACCTAATTTAAGCTTAAATGACTGGACTATATGAGGCAGATATAGTAAAGCATTCTGATACTGTCCATCACTTCAACAGAAAGAAATTCACAATAAACATCGCTATGCACAATAAACATCACAACTATATAATATAGGGTTCATTTAAAATTTTCCTTCTCTTTGCATTGCTGTTGTCCTGCGTAGTTTACTCCCTTAGTCGGCTCTCACGACACCCACTGGGGTTATATAAAAAAAAAGACAAATTAGGTACTCACAGGCCAAGTTTCTTCACTAGGTGTACCAAATACTTGAAAGATACGCGAAAGTTGGTCCAGATCAGATTCTCCAGGTAGAAATGGGACTCTTAATAGTAATTCAGCCAATATGCACCCTATTGCCCACATATCAACCCCTGTGCCATATTGTCTTGCACCAAATAACAATTCTGGTGATCTGAAAGCAATTGAAAATAAATCAATCTTAATATTTATGTATATATTATAATAGTGTCATTATTTAATAAATAAAAGCAATATTAACCACTGGAATAATTCTATATATATTCAATGAAGATTTATTAACACTACCTATGAATATAAACCCTTTTTAAAAAAAAAGTTGAACCGACTTCAAAAAACACCGACAAAGAGCACTAAAAATTAAAAAATAATTACAAATCTAAGTAAAAAACTATAATAAGTACCCTCAATGTAACAGGTAACATTATAATACCAATAGTCCCTTCTAGTCAGTTTGAAGTCGGTGCCAAGCCAAATAGGTGCTTGATAGGCATGGTAGAATGTAGCGCGGCAGCTGCAACAGTCTTCATGCTGCGCAAAACATGATGAACGAGCTAAAGTGGACGCACATCTCCAATTATATTATTATTTTGAATTCTTTAATAAGTAGTTGATAAGTTTTGCGCACGTAATTGATCTGGTTGGTCTTTATTAATTAACAAAATCTTCGATGTTTCATTAGAATTATTTTGAATTCTTAATTTTTCATTGTGCTAATATAAAGCTGACATAGACCAGTATTACTTATTGTACATCGAGCTTGGCACCGACTTCAAACAGACTAGAAGGGACTATTGGTATTATAATGTTACCTGTTACATTGAGGGTACTTATTATAGTTTTTTACTTAGATTTGTAATTATTTTTTAATTTTTAGTGCTCTTTGTCGGTGTTTTTTGAAGTCGGTTCAACTTTTTTTTTAAAAAGGGTTTATTTTACCATTTTTAGTGTAGGATATGAAAATGACATTGGCGTCCAAACTGATCAAGATCAGCTTAAATTCTTTTCTAAGAAACAGTCAAATTCTTGTGAGTTGCAACCGAACAAAATAACTTCCGATTCAATTGACACTGATCTTGAAGGTGAAGATAGGGAAGCTTTAGTGAGACTACTCAACAAATATGCTCAATATTTTATAGAAGGAGTTCCAACTAGAAGGGTTAATACTAGTATGTTAGAAATTAACCTAGTTGACCCACCCAAAATTTAAGAGTTTTTCCAGAACTATTTTAATAAATTAAGTATAAAATTACTTACAAACGAAATGCGATGCCATCCATAGCAACAAAACGTCTATCCGAATTATTTTAACAAGATAGAATACAAAATTTCAACCTTTTCTTCTTAATACAACGAAAATTACTGTGGTGACATAAATACTGCAAGTTCTCTGCGCATCACATCGCGCAGTCTCTGACAGTTGCCATGGTTTGTTTGGCTAAAGAAATACTCGTAGCTAAAACACGTTGTCGGGGCTGTCAAATTCCCAATAATTGTGAGGGTTTCACTCGATTTCTCTAGGATCCCATTATCAGATCCTGAATTGGTGGTAATGGGACCAATTCGGGAGCATACCCTTTCGATTACAAAAAGAATTTTGAAAATCGGTCCACAATTGACGAAGAAATCGCGTAACAAACATACATAAAAAAAAAATACAGACGAATTGAGAACCTCCTCTTTTGTGTTTTGGAAGTCGGTTAAAAAGAAAACATACTGTCGAATCAAAAACCCTCCTTTTTTGATGTTGGTTAAAAATCGACTAGCATGAAGCTCCTAGTCGAGACGAATCAAATGAGCACAAACACGACGGAATTGCTTTATTTTATTACAGAGTTCCCATGGCTATTTACCGTCTCCATCATCAGACTCTGAATATCACATAGGATCGGAGTTCTTATTAATTAGACTCAAACACATTCAAATTGGATGGTATTTCATAATTTTGTTACAGAGATCCCATACTCCTAAACCATTCATCAACAGCTTCATCATCAGCTCAGCAACATCAGATGGTGACCATTAGATGCAAAAATCTACATAGATTAAGATAATTTCTGATAAACAGTGTATATGCCTACAAAATTTGAGGGTTTCCCTCGATTTCCCCAGGATCCCATCATCAGATCCTGACCTGGTGACAATGGGATCACCTCTGACGTATGACCTACCAAATAAAAAAAGAATTATTCAAATCGGTTTATAATTGCCGGAGTAATCGCGTAACAAATATACAAAAAAAAAAAAAAAAATACAGAATACAGTCGAATTGAGAACCTCCTCCTTTTTTTGAAGTCGGTTAAAAATGTAAAAATCTAATCAAATTATGTCCAAAATGTAATCAGATCTAAAAACTAATAAAACACTAAGGGAAACCCACCTGTACCAACGTGTCACCACTTGATGAGTATTTATTCGAGTTGGTGATCCGAATGCTTTGGCCAGACCAAAGTCCCCAATCTTCAAAATTCCTTCTCGATTTATAAGTAAATTATTAGGTTTCAAATCTCTGTGTAATATCCAATTTTGATGAAGATATTCTAAACCTAGAAAAAGTAGATAGAATATATTTACTGCCTATGTTTGTACTGTATTCTAATTGAGTACATCTATATAGATTATTTATTTTCTAAACAACTTAAATAATTCAGGTTATATTCCTACAATTATACAAGCTTGTTGGACTAGTGGTTAGCTATTCTGACTGCTAAGCCAGAGGTTGAGTGTTCGATACCCGCCCATTGTGTGATTAGCACAAGCTTTTGTTCTGTCTGGGTGTAGTTTAAACATAATAGGTATATTTAAATATATTTTGTTTGTTTATCACACATTTCAGCACCACTTGAAGGTAGACTGGGTGAAAATGCCTGTGGCATTATGTCCGCCATTGTACAACCCACTCTTGTGCATAAAGTATTAAAAAAATACATAGCTCTTGGCCACCAGAGGGCCTAGTGTGAGTTTCTTTTACATTAACTTGGTTGTGATTGCCCGGCATTGCGATCCGTACCAATTACAACGCCAAATGCGGTGGCTATCAAGAGCAAGTTGAGGTGAAATAAATTTACAGTAGACCCTCTTTTGTGTGTAAGATATGACAAGTTCTCATTTAAGACAATTTTTTAAAAATATTTCTTGAATTAGGGAAAACTTGATATGTAAACTAAATTATTAACTAACTAATTATTACAAAAGATTTGGAAAATATCATTCCTTACCTCTTAAAGTCATGATCATATAAGCCTTAACATTAGCTGGAGTTAGCACAATACTATTATCCTTAACAATTATCTCTAAGTCAGTATCCATAAAGTCAAACACTAATGATACATTTGATTTCTGTCCAAATACATCTGAAAAGAAAAATAATATTACCTAGTTATATATCTACAATATTATTCTTGTATTGTACTTTTATTTATACAGGGTTACAAGAAAAGTCGTGCTAGATCCGTTAAGGGCGTGGAGTACCCATCATTTCTGACATATTTCACTATGAAACACCCTACCCTAAACTTAACCCTTTTCGAGATAATCGTCTTTTAATTTTTTTATTGAAATTTGCTGATTTTTAGGCTAGTACATTTATCTTTGTTTATTTTGTGTATCTTATTATTATTATTTTTGCATTTTTACATGTGTAATAAGATGCTTTAGGACGTCAGTCATTAAAAAAGTTCATAAGTTAATTGAATAGATCGTAGTAGACAAGTGAAAGTAAAGAAATAAAAAAAAAATTAGAAAAAAAATTTTCTCTAATGGATATCTAAAAACAATATTATGCTAATTGTTCGGCAGATGTTTTTTAAAATATCTACGTTTCATCAGCTATCTAACGAGGTATAATAATCTAAGGTTTTATTCAAATGCATTGAAAAAACTTTAGTTTCATAGGCGACAGTGGAAAAGAAAATTTATACTTAGCCCAAAAAAGTAAAATAAAACAATAGTTAAGCATGAAATGTCATTTATTAAAGGTTTTCACACAACTTTTTCTTATTCTACAGTTCATGTTCAACATGGCCGCCTCTATTTCTGATATATTGTCGCATCCTTCTACGGAGACCAGTCTTCACTACTCCAGTGGTCAACGTAGTCCTCATTTTATTTGCTGCATCCACAATCCTTTCTCGTAAGTCTTCCACAGACGAAACTGGATTCGGCTCGCTGTACACAAGACTTTTCATGCACCCCCACACATGAAAATCCATGGGGGTTAGGTCCGGACTTCTTGCTGGCCATGGCAACGGCCCACCTCGTCCTATCCATTTGTTTGGATAATTTGTGTCCAGCCAGTCCCTGACACTTCTCCTGAAATGGGCAGGGCAGCCATCGTGTTGGAACCACATGTCCCTGATCAGGTTGAGTGGCAGATCATCCAGCAAATCACTCAAGTCTGCTCTCAGGAAATTTTCGTAGCTTTCCCCATTTAGATTATCCGGGAGAAAGTAAGGTCCAATCAAATGATTGGAGATAATGCCCATCCACACATTCACGCTGAATCTTCGTTGGGACCCCTTCACTCTTTTCTTATTGGGATTCCTTAGTTCTTTTGGGGCCCAGTAATGGGCGTTGTGATAGTTCGTTATGCCATCTTTATCAAATTTGGACTCATCCGTCCACAAGATATTTCTTAGAAAATCTGGGTCTTCTACGTCAGCATTTAGCATAAATCTGCAAAAGTCCAATCTTCTCGCGGGGTCTCCTTCTTCAATAACGTGTACCGGCGTGTAATGGTACGGGTATAGGCCAGCAGTATGCACTGTAAACCACACTCTCCATTGCGAAAGTTCCAGATCACGGGCAACAATATTAGTGGAAGTAGTCGGATCCCCTCGACCAGCGTTACACTATCTCATTGTCCTGTTCTTCGTCGTCAATTCGTGGTCTTCCCATGTCTGTATTTCGTCTCAAAACAGGGCCAGTTTCTCGAAGTCTTCGATAAACTCTGTCAAAAACGGCCACATCCGGCACTCGACGACCAGGGTAGCGAGTTATGTATTCGTTGCGAGCTTGCGCAGACACACAATCGCAGTATCCGTAACAAATAAGCATATCAGCATATTCCTCAGGTGTGTAGGACGTCATCTTCAACACTTCCGTATCACAGGTACAAATTAGTCCGGTTAACAAGCACAGTAGTCACAAATCAGAAGAAATAGTCCAGAATCACAGCCAAGTCGAGAAAAGAGCAAAACGATATCACATCTACTATGTACGAAGCACAAAAGCAGACTGACAACTAGTGACAACCAAACAATGCCCCCTGTTGTATTCCCAGCCCTAACTGGTCTCTACACATTTTTTCTTTCATTCGCACCTACATAAATCGTCACTTGTCTCGCTCGCTTGGTGCGTCTTAACTTAAAGGACAATAGGCGCGGGACCGTTAGAACTGTTACCTGGAGCGTCCCATCTACTTTTTTCCACGAAATGTAATACAAACCCTAGATTGTTATACCTCGTTAGATAGCTGATGAAACGTAGATATTTTAAAAATCATCTGCCGAACAATTACCATAATATTGTATTTAGATATCCGTTAGAGAAAAATAATTTTCTAATAAATTTTTTTTATTTCTTTACTTTCACTTGTCTACTACGATCTATTCAATTAACTTATGAACTATTTTAATGACTGACGTCCTAAAGCATCTTATAACACATGTAAAAATGCAAAAATAATAATAATAAGATACACAAAATAAACAAAAATAAATGTAGTAGCCTAAAAATCAGCAAATTTCAATAAAAAAATTAAAAGACGATTATCTCGAAAAGGGTTAAGTTTAGGGTAGGGTGTTTCATAGTGAAATATGTCAGAAATGATGGGTACTCCACGCCCTTAACGGATCTAGCACGACTTTTCTTGTAACCCTTTATAATCCCATAATCAATACTAATATTATAAATGTGAAAGTGTGTCTGTCTATTACCTCTTTATGCTAAAATCGCTGAACTGATTTAAATAAAAGCTGTTATAGAGATAGTTCAAGTCCCACAAAAGGACACCTATGTCCTTTTGTGGGACTTGAACTATCTCTATAACAGCTATATATGCTATATATGCTCTATAACAGCTATATAGCTATATATGATATCTGTGATAAAAACTATCCTAATAGTTTTTATCACAGATATCATCATTTAAGGGAGTGGATGTTTGTGTGGGGAATCAATAACCGCTACCACTCTCCAGTGTTTTTTTTTTTTATGACGGTTTAGGCGTGAAAGTGTAACAAACAAACAAACTCACTTTAAACTAAACTGATTTAAATGCAATTTGGAACAGAGAGAAATATAACATCTTGCATCAGATTTCTCAATTTTGGAATTTTTCCTTACCTAGATACAGTAATAAATATTGTTAATAATATTTGTTACCATGTAAACTAAAGATGAAATAGATAGGTTTTTTGGCCAGCTACCTAACCAAATAAAAAACGGCGTGAGAGAGCTATGAACATACAGGTGTCTACCTGTCTGTTCATAGCTCCCTATACGTCTGTATCGTATCGTATGTGTCGGAAAAAAGTGTTGTTACACATTTTTCGGTCTCCCATCTATTCAGAATGTGTAAAGTGTGATATGGAACTTCGTTACAATAAAAATCTGTTGCTCCCAAGCAAGGGCTTCATAAGACTAAATCAAACAGTGGTCAAAAAAGAACAGTGATGCAAAATGAGTAGATTTAGATGTAGATTTAGACCAAATAGTGACTAAATATTTATTTCATCAAACCGAGTGAAAATTCTAGACAGTTTGCCCACATTGGAAGTGATACAATCTTATTATTAGTATAGACCGGATTATGTGCATTTGCATATCCTTTTTTAAGCCATTCTCAATGGTAATAGCATATTTTACCTAAGATCTAGTTATGATGCATATTATTGGTACATTTACAATATTTTTCCGAGTGCAGTGCATTCACCCTGTGTTCCGAAATGCGATAAAGGCGATAATATCGCGAATTCGACCTGCAACGCAATTTTAATATCATGTAATGTTACTGTACTTATTATCGTCAATCAAAAAATAATTTATGTATGCTGATTTTGAAATAAAAAAATGAAACCTTACTTTTCTCTTTTGTTTGGGGTTCCTAAAATTTATTATTTAATTTTGCATATTCTGCCATTTTTCATGCATATTTCAAGCATTTTTCATGCATATATATAGCTTTTTATGTTGCACATAATCCGGTCTCTAATGATTAGCATTGTCACCAAAATTAATGTATGTGAGTAAATATTTAAAGAACAGTTTTTATAGAATTTTACACTAACAGTAATCAAGCTTTTCCCTAAAAAAAGTATGAGGAGTTCTCATGTTGACTGCAAATTTACTCAGGCCTTTAATGTTGACATGATATGCCTTTAGTATCCTGGTGTTAATTTTAATAAGTTAATGTAGTAATTAGTTCAATAAACCAACATGTTTTTTAACTGTAAATACTAGCTTTTTCAAAGTCTCAATTTCAAGTGCATAGAGTTAGGCAAAGACTTACTGCTAACTCTAATTCAATCTAACTTCAAGTGATTATGCATATCTTTTCTAAACAAATGCCATACAGAGGCAAAGTGCATTAGTGAAGTAAGTACAAAACAGACAGTAATAACAAGGAGTACCTACCTAATAAGCCAATCAGATTGATGTGCTGTAATTCTTGCAGCAGCTTAATTTCCCTTAATGCTGTTCGATTGATACCATCTTGGGCCTCTAATCGGGAACCAATTTTGATCTTTTTGACAGCTACTATTTTGTCAGTTTTCACATCTCTTGCCTTGTAAACTGTTGCAAACTATAACACATTGTTTATTGGTTATGAAATGATAATTGTGGCCAAATGTCCATGGCATTGTAAATAAGATATATATTAATTACCTGCCCTTCTCCAAGAAAGTCAATCTTCTCATAACGTAGAATCGGTTCTTCCATTGTTAATCTTATTAATTCTCCATACAAGCAATACGATACAGGCAAAATGTTTATTTATTAAAACAAAATTTGTATAAAGTTTATCATTGTTTTCTAGATAGCACACCTAATTATTAAATACAATTTCTATATATTCCTGGTCCATTTACTTGGCCATAAGTTTAGAATTCAAATTATGACAGTTCAAAACTTCTCATCTGCGACAAGGAGCTTTTCGCGCGTGGATGACATGACCACAGATAACTATATGCCAGGACATGAGAATAATGACATTGACAGAAAGGCGCCACTATGTGTTTAGATGTTTTCGATATAGGATCAAAATCGATCTAAGTGGCGTGCAATGGGAGAGGCCTATGTCCAGCAGTGGACTGCGATAGGCTGATGATGATGATGATGATGATGATATAGGATACAAACTGTCTACAGTCTCTACAGAGACTGTAGACAGTTTGTCTTTTAAACACATGACATTGACTCAATTGTGGTTACCTAAATCACAAAGCCATTAATCAAAAGTTGATTATGGAGTGTAGACTTTGTATTTGTTCCGTGAGTGTAGAAGAAAGGAGAAGAGAGCCATCTCTGTGTATGAATAGTGTTAATCAAAATGAGTTAAATTAGGGGCGCTACAGTAGCATCAGGGTAATTTTTTCAAGAAAGCGCCAATAGTTATTAGAGTAGGATAGCGTGTATTGTAAACGACACCGCTGAATCACACCACTGGGGTGTCGTTTCCAATAAGAATCCTGAAAAATATAGTTCCCAATAATATAAACAGGTCTTATTTACTAAAATAATTCACTACACAACCACAGGTAAATAATAATAATATTTTGCACATTTCACACACGGCCAAACTAGGCAGAGCCTGTACTATGGTAATCAGACTGCTGATAACATACACATATATTTCTAAATACATACATATTTTACTTAGCAGCATTATATGCTGCTTTTTGGTGAACATTATAAATAAAAATTAGTGTATGACGTGAGGTAATTGTTGATGCCATACCATTTTTTTCTTCTACGCCGCGTTACAGGCGTTCATGGGCGGCGGTAGTCGCTTTCCATTAGGTGACCCATCTGCTCGTTTGCCCCCTATTCCAAAAAAATATATTTGTGTGTTTAAATGAAATTTGGGCGTCGATAAACTGGGAAGATATTCAGGTTTCCGGTCAATACGGTAGGAATTAAATTAATTGACTAGGCGCTAAAACGGAATAGTTTAGTGAACAAATAATAAGAAGCTAATAGCCTATGCACTTACTAGGCATGGGAAATACAGTTATAAAAATATACCATTTTCACAGTAGTTAGATTTTTTGTCGCAGTTATTATCGGTAGGGGAAGAGCACGACAGTTACATTTATCGAGGAAGCTACAAATAACAATTACGTCACTTATTCACTTGGTTTTACATTAATATATACTTAGCATGATATTTTCAACGCCCATCATACTTTTGTTAATTTTGTTTTTGCATTCATTTTTCTTAATAAAACAGACCACTATTGCTGTTGAGGAAGACTAATTCCGTCCTGCGTCTTCTGCTTAGACGAGTTTTTTCTAGGTTCTCACATTTTCAGATACTCTATATAAATAAATACCTACCTACCTACCTACTTATAAATGTATGTCTAATATTCACATCTATAAGAGTCATTATTTCTTGAAGTTTTTCACTTAAACCAATTTAAACCTCTCCGTTGTGTACGCAACGGTACAAAATTACTATATGCTATACTGTAAATGTTATAATGTTACCTAAATGTACGTGCATTAAGACTGCATATGCAACAGTGGTCCAGTCATGGTAAATTATCCCATAGCTCATTAATTACTATATAAAAGTATTTCAATGCTAAATATATGTTAATCTCAAATAATGAAAATCGAACGCTGGGGCAACGCACACATGAGTATTACAAATATGCGTATATAATGCTCCTTGCATTATTATTTAGGGCACTTCTCTAAAAAGCTGAGGTAGCAAATATATTTTGATTCAGTGGAATTATTACTGTAGCACTGAAATATCCGTTGAATACGCCGTCTGATCTTAGTAGTTCCATTATGGTACTACTAGGTATTTTTTCTAGTAGTTACCTACAGCCTATATTTCGTAAACTCTGAGATCTAGCCCTTAACTATAACTACCTTAAAAATTCAGCTCATTATATCTCCTAAACTGTGACTTGGCGACAAATTCCAACTAATTAGCGACTAAATTTGGGAGAAAACAGATCTGCTCTAGGTGCCCTAGTTTTGAGATATAATCGTGGCCAAGCTGGGGAGATTGACCCCAGCAGGGCCACTTAACTTTTGAACCAGTGACCGACACATTCTGAAATTTGGTGACAAAGTTCGACTAATTAGCGACAAAACTTGTTTTATCGAAATTAAAATCCATGATGGTAGCAAAGTCAGTGTCAGTGAAACGTTCAGCTCAGCAGTGGCGGAAGGTGTGTACAGTCTATAGGTATATTTCAGAATAATAAAAATACGCAATGCAGGATGTATAAGCCTATTACCATCAAACGTCAACCAATGTGTTAATGAATTAGAAAAGTAGGGGTCTATTACAAGGAAAAGTGAACATATCACTTGTGTAGGCTGTTATTTATTTTTTATCAACTTATGAGATTAATGGCAATGAAAGCAGTGCCAATGTAAGCCTAGTCTCACGCATTTAACAAATTTATTATGACAGGTGCTGCCAATTTACTCAGTATTTGAGAAAATCTATATATTTGACTTTACAGAATAAATAGGAATAAAGAAAACTCAAACAAACTTATTTAGTCTCAGTTCTTATATTTCAGAAGAAACTTTACATTCCACCTCTCAATCTTAAAACTAAATGTAGAGTAGACTCTTTTTGGATATTATAGTCTGAAAGTGTACGTCCGTCTTCCAACTGCTTGCCTGCAAAGATCAATCGCTGCTGATCTGGAGGAATGCCTTCTTTATCTTGAATTTTTGCTTTGACATTCTCAATAGTGTCAGAAGGTTCGACTTCCAAGGTGATTGTCTTACCAGTAAGTGTTTTAACGAAAATTTGCATACCACCACGAAGACGGAGAACTAAATGCAATGTAGACTCCTTCTGAATGTTATAGTCTGATAGTGTACGGCCATCTTCTAGCTGTTTGCCGGCGAAGATTAAACGTTGCTGGTCTGGGGGAATGCCCTCTTTGTCTTGAATTTTAGCTTTTACATTCTCAATTGTGTCAGAGGGCTCCACTTCCAAAGTTATAGTCTTACCAGTCAAGGTCTTGACAAAAATCTGCATACCACCACGTAGACGTAATACTAAGTGCAGAGTTGATTCCTTCTGAATATTATAATCTGATAGTGTTCGACCGTCTTCTAGCTGTTTGCCAGCAAAAATCAATCGCTGCTGGTCTGGAGGAATACCCTCCTTATCTTGGATTTTAGCTTTCACATTTTCAATTGTATCAGAAGGTTCAACCTCTAAAGTGATGGTTTTACCAGTCAAGGTCTTGACAAAAATTTGCATACCACCACGCAGACGTAATACTAAATGAAGTGTAGATTCCTTTTGGATATTGTAGTCTGACAACGTTCGCCCATCTTCCAATTGTTTGCCGGCAAATATCAAACGCTGCTGGTCTGGGGGAATACCTTCTTTGTCTTGGATCTTAGCTTTAACATTTTCAATAGTGTCCGACGGCTCTACCTCTAGTGTAATAGTCTTGCCAGTTAAGGTCTTCACGAAGATTTGCATACCACCACGCAGACGTAATACTAAATGTAGAGTGGATTCCTTCTGAATATTGTAATCTGATAATGTTCGTCCATCTTCTAATTGCTTGCCAGCAAAGATCAAACGCTGCTGGTCTGGAGGGATACCTTCCTTATCCTGAATCTTGGCTTTGACATTCTCAATTGTGTCAGAAGGCTCTACCTCTAATGTAATAGTCTTGCCAGTTAAGGTCTTCACGAAGATTTGCATACCACCACGCAGACGTAATACTAAATGTAGAGTGGATTCCTTCTGAATATTGTAATCTGATAATGTTCGTCCATCTTCTAATTGCTTGCCAGCAAAGATCAAACGCTGCTGGTCTGGAGGGATACCTTCCTTATCCTGAATCTTGGCTTTGACATTCTCAATTGTGTCAGAAGGCTCTACCTCTAATGTAATAGTCTTGCCAGTTAAGGTCTTCACGAAGATTTGCATACCACCACGCAGACGTAATACTAAATGTAGAGTGGATTCCTTCTGAATATTGTAATCTGATAATGTTCGTCCATCTTCTAATTGCTTGCCAGCAAAGATCAAACGCTGCTGGTCTGGAGGGATACCTTCTTTATCCTGAATCTTAGCTTTAACATTCTCAATTGTGTCAGAAGGCTCTACTTCTAATGTAATAGTCTTGCCAGTTAAGGTCTTCACGAAGATTTGCATACCACCACGCAGACGTAATACTAAATGTAGAGTGGATTCCTTCTGAATATTGTAATCTGATAATGTTCGTCCATCTTCTAATTGCTTGCCAGCAAAGATCAAACGCTGCTGGTCTGGAGGGATACCTTCTTTGTCCTGAATTTTTGCTTTGACGTTTTCAATGGTATCAGAAGGTTCTACTTCTAATGTGATTGTCTTGCCGGTCAATGTTTTTACGAATATCTGCATACCACCACGTAAACGAAGGACTAAATGTAGCGTAGATTCCTTCTGAATATTGTAGTCTGATAATGTTCGTCCATCTTCTAGTTGCTTGCCGGCAAAGATCAATCGCTGCTGGTCTGGAGGGATACCCTCTTTGTCCTGAATCTTAGCTTTAACATTCTCAATTGTGTCAGAGGGTTCCACCTCCAATGTGATAGTTTTGCCAGTTAATGTTTTTACGAATATCTGCATTCCACCTCGAAGTCGCAGTACTAGATGAAGAGTGGATTCCTTCTGAATGTTATAATCGGAAAGAGTACGGCCATCTTCCAGTTGTTTGCCAGCAAAGATCAAACGCTGCTGGTCTGGAGGGATACCTTCTTTGTCCTGAATTTTTGCTTTGACGTTTTCAATGGTATCAGAAGGTTCTACTTCTAATGTGATTGTCTTGCCGGTCAATGTTTTTACGAATATCTGCATACCACCACGTAAACGAAGGACTAAATGTAGCGTAGATTCCTTCTGAATATTGTAGTCTGATAATGTTCGTCCATCTTCTAGTTGCTTGCCGGCAAAGATCAATCGCTGCTGGTCTGGAGGGATACCCTCTTTGTCCTGAATCTTAGCTTTAACATTCTCAATTGTGTCAGAGGGTTCCACCTCCAATGTGATAGTTTTGCCAGTTAATGTTTTTACGAATATCTGCATTCCACCTCGAAGTCGCAGTACTAGATGAAGAGTGGATTCCTTCTGAATGTTATAATCGGAAAGAGTACGGCCATCTTCCAGTTGTTTGCCAGCAAAGATTAACCTCTGCTGGTCAGGGGGGATACCTTCTTTATCTTGAATTTTAGCTTTGACGTTTTCAATGGTGTCAGAAGGCTCTACTTCCAGTGTGATTGTCTTGCCGGTCAATGTTTTAACGAAAATCTGCATGCCACCACGTAGACGAAGGACTAAATGGAGTGTGGATTCTTTTTGAATGTTGTAGTCTGATAGGGTGCGGCCATCTTCTAGCTGTTTTCCGGCAAATATCAGTCTTTGTTGATCAGGGGGAATACCTTCTTTATCTTGAATTTTAGCTTTTACATTTTCAATTGTGTCTGAAGGCTCAACTTCAAGCGTAATTGTCTTGCCAGTTAGAGTTTTGACGAATATTTGCATACCTCCACGCAGACGTAATACTAAATGGAGTGTGGACTCCTTTTGGATATTATAGTCAGACAATGTGCGTCCATCTTCCAATTGTTTGCCGGCGAAAATCAATCGCTGCTGGTCTGGAGGGATACCTTCTTTGTCTTGTATCTTAGCTTTAACATTCTCAATTGTGTCAGAGGGCTCAACCTCCAATGTGATAGTTTTGCCAGTCAACGTTTTCACGAAGATTTGCATGCCGCCTCGAAGACGTAGCACAAGGTGGAGAGTAGATTCTTTTTGAATATTGTAGTCGGAAAGTGTGCGGCCATCTTCTAACTGCTTACCGGCGAAGATCAACCTTTGCTGGTCTGGAGGAATGCCTTCTTTATCTTGAATCTTAGCTTTAACATTTTCAATAGTATCAGAGGGTTCCACCTCCAATGTAATGGTCTTCCCCGTCAAGGTCTTCACAAAGATCTGCATTGTATCCTATAATGAAAAGAAAAGTGATTGTTAATAATAATGACCTATTTATTTACAATTACCAACCATGAACATCCTAATAAATATCGACATTGAATGTCGGATGAGACTAAAATGATTAAAATAAAATAAAAGTAGGTACAAAGCCGAGGGAATCGAACTCTCGACCCAAAACTTAGCTTAGCGGGCATTGTATCGTGCTATTGCACAACAAAAAAAAATTAATGTTGGTTTTGAATTGTCCTATTAGAGATAAAACGACCACTATCGTAAATTAATAGATAAAAACTGTTGCCGTTCACGTTAAAATGTTTAGAAAATACCTACTATATTAAAATTTTAGCAATAATCATCACGTGATTGTTTTGTACCTATGACGTGTTAGGTTCAGTTAGTACAATGACTAAAAAACAAGTTAGGCGATATATTGCACAATAATAAGATAAAAATTGTACATTACAATAAATACTGATACGCAAACACTTACCTAGTTAACTAAAATATTTTTTAGTAAAAGATATTGTTAACAGTTATATACCAATATTATTGTCGATCATATTACCATGACCCAGAAAACTGTTGCTACGTATACGTACCTACTTGGTAAATGTAAAAAAATTTAAATAATAGCAACAGCCTAACCTCGCTTACGTTCAATAAAAAAACACACTACACCACTTAATACCCTTTATTGATCTGCGAAACGGTAACATTCAGAGGGTGAAGAAATTGTTGGAAACTGGTATAATGGTTCTAAATATAAATAGGCCACACTCAAATTAGTACTCTGTGTTTATTCGATATACGATTGGTATAGATTTACTTAAAATATCAAATAATTTATCTATGCTTTTGTAGATTTACTGACAATAGATTTGCAACATTGTTTTCTTAATCAATTTTTTAAATTTTACTTTCATTTAATACTTCCAGATAGCATCAACAAACAATAGCTTAGGTCATGTATTGGTAATGTAAACTAACAATACCCTTTCAACATCCACGAACAAAAACATCCATCAGATTACACGAGTCTCAGTTACAAAATGGCGTACAAACGAAGAACAGTATGTAACTGCGTAGTATACAATACCTAGTAGCTTTAGGAATGCTAAAATTAAGATTACTTTTTATTGTAAAATAAGGTTAATTAACACTTACCGAATATACACTGGAATTTAGTTTTATCTAACACAATTTTCAATAATCAATTGGTCTTTGACGACACGACTTAAACAGTCACTCGCTCAAGAATTCTTTTTTCAATTTCTCGTTTTGAACTGCGCTCCGAGCACTGACGTTCCGTGTTTTATAGACACGGTATCGTGTGAAAATCTATAGCAACGATGACTGGCGACAATGACCGAAAGAAATTTTTGTCTCTTTCTAACATACGTACAATGAGAGAGCAAAAGCTATTTGTTCTAGAACGTCTACAGCGACTGCGTAATTTTTTCCTTTGTGACGTACACTGTGTGGTCGGGTTCGCGCAGCCGCCTGGGAGGAAGCCCACAATAACAAAGGCAATTCTGTGAAAACATGTCGATCAATAACAGCTACATTTTAATAACAACGTAGTATCAACGCAAACTAAAAGCATACCTACTCTTTTAGATCTGAAAAGCTTAGGGTTATAGTTATCTATGGATCTATACCAAACTCTTCATGCTTATTGGTGTAGGCAATAGGTAATCAACAGAATTAATTGAATTTATCTTTATATATGTCCCTAAATAGCTTATAAATTCGATGCTTGTACTAATTCGATGCCCCTATATTTTTATCGTAAATACCTACCAACAGAAATGCATTTTCATTTAGGTATATAAATCCATCAGAAATCTGAAACTGTAGATTTGAAAGAGACTGTACCCTTTTGACTCTATTTGACCTGCCAAAATTTGAATCACGCATGTTATATCTACAAATCTACCTCACACAACAAAAACAAATGCTACGCATGAGTAAAGTAAGAAAATAATATGTCGTTTCAATACCTAGGCGGAGATTCATACAAACACTCTTTGTCAGTCACTACTTACACTATAGATAGACCTTTCGATACGAAACTAAGATATCGATAAATACAGGTCTAGAATAATTTGATAGCCTAGATACTTGTAAACACTTTACACAAACAAAAACTTTTAGGTCAGGGGTCCCAATGTTTTTTAGGATCATTGTGTGACTGGGTGTTATTAACACGCTTTTATTAGCTTGGTATGTATGTATGTATGTGACGGAACCTTTGAAGTTGATTTTGACCCACTTCATAACGTTGAGGTTAATTAAAACTTAGCACACTTATTAAGGACCGATGACAATGAAATAATTTAAATAGTTTGTACCATTATCCTGAAAATGACCTTCAGGATTAACAGCTTTTTCCATACCTAAAAATACGGTAGTGTCTTTTGCCACGCACTAAGACGTATGCTGAAGCATATGTGATAAACTTACTGTTACTTTTTTAGTCTTAATAAGATAATAATCATCATTATTAACAAAAAATGTAGTCGCAGTGAAGTTTATAGCCTATGCTATGGTTCATGCGTCAAAAAATACTTTTTCATTGGATAAATGCAAAAATAATTATTCAAATCTGACTGATAGTTCCATAGATTATCGCTTTTAAACAAAGAAATAAACAAAAACTCTTATATTATTTATTACATTAGTATTTAAGATAACACATTCTACTTACCAAGTACTTATTTTGGATTTAGGTAAGTCCCAGTAGGTATACGTATTGCTATTAGAGTTCGGACCACACTTTCGGCTCCTATTCCAATTGATTGCCCAGCTTAAAATATGTATGTATATATCCAATGATATTATGTACAGGAGTTTGATAAGCCACCAACGAACAACACGTGAGGGTCCTAATCAGGACCACTGCGAGCGAGCGCACGTACTAATTAATTCGAGATAATTCATAAAATACCTTCCTGTGCATTCTGAAAGTGCGCAAATTACGGAACAAATATTTTGTGCGTGCAGTATGAATATAATGTACCTATCTTCCTTAAAATATCATTGTAAACATCTGTCCTACGAGAGCGGCTCCTTCTGACTACTCTTCAGGGAATAATTATACAATTCAAATGTGCGGCAGGAATTGCGGGCTGCCAGATCGTGGTAAGGTTGGGCCGGATATTTCCCATATTCGGTCAAACAGCTACCAATTTTATCGCTCAAAGTGACTTTACCACCAAAAAATCTATTTTTCAAGTGTCAATGAGTATTTGAATTTGTATCGAATTCAATTATATTTTATTTACAAACAATACCTACTTAAATATCATTGATTGAATTAATCAAACAAAACATGAAAACTATCTATAAAAACTGGCTATGCGTTCGATCACCTTGTGTATGCAATGTGTATGACCTCATCCAAACAATATTCACCAGCAGAGAAATAAGTAAAAGAAGTAAGTAGAATTCTAGAAACCTCCAGCTGCTTAGAGGAAGCAGACTCATACTAGTAGAATTCGCAAGAATATTTGCTATTGCATCATTCGGTATATTGTTTTTTAAATACCTAATTTCATGTGATATACTATGTACCTACATGTTTAAAGGCAATAAATAGCATTTCGTTTTATTTTATGTTGTGAAATTTAAAACGTGGAGTCGTGTGATTCGTCGATAATAACTTAGTTGAAAGGTTTCTGTTGCGCTATTTTCATGACTACTTACAGATGATTTACAAAATGATCGCTTTTTGTGTTGATACCTAAGCAATGGCTGAAATCAGAGATAGTTATTTATATAGCGCCGCCCGTGGCCCTTGTTTATGTACTATATATTTATGTGTTAATGTCTTGTGTTTGTGTTATTGTAGTCTTATCAACTAGACATGGGACAAAATCACAGTAAACTGTGACTCATCATTCAATTTTTGCGTACGTAGGTTAGGGTTGCTAGGTAGGTAGGTTAGACGGTATTTAACAGTAAATCTAGTATTTTTTAAATTATTATGTAGGGAATGGTACCTATATATAATAAAATAATTACTAGATTTACTGTTCAACTAGCTTTTTCCGCCCGCGTGTATGTCGGTACAAAGTAGCCTATGTCCTTCCTCAAGAAACAAACTATCTCCATAGATAATTTCATCCAAATCGGGTCAACGGTTATAGATTCACCATACAAACTTCCACCCCCCTTTTTCTCCACTTAAAGGATGATTTCTGGGAAAAAAGCTGTCCTACGTCCTTTCCCGGGACTCAAACTATCTCTAAACCAAATTTCATCTCAATCGGATCAGCAGTTTAAGCGTGAAAAGGGAACAGACAGACAGATAGATAGACAGACAGACACATTTGCACAGACACAGATTTATAATATTAGTTTCGATAGCTTTTGCCCGCGGCTTCGCCCTCGTGGATGTCGGTTATCACTGCGAAAAGCCTATGTGTGAGCTTACAAAATTTTATCAAAACTGTCTGGTTCGACGGCTCATATCTTCATATAAATTATCTTTGTTATCCCATAACTTCAATGACGCCGATGGCTGACAAAATAAAATAAATAACTACGAACAACTCTCTTAGTTTTTTTGGACACTCTGACAACGAAGTTTTGATTATGTTATTGCCCCAATGATCAACATTTTCAGGTAAACCTCGGGCACGGCAAACTGCTTGATACGTCTCTCTGACCATACCATTTACATTTTTTAAATATTCAAATGAGGTCGGACCGCGTACGTGATGTAGTAGAATTCGGAGATAAAAACACTCTGATCGGGATTATGTTTAATAGTTCTGAAAAGAACTGTTTTACAGTTCTGAAAAAAACTTTTGTTTTGCTCTGAGATGAACTTTCTAACAGATTTGGTTTTAGACGACGATTTCTAAATACTTTCGAAAGAAAATTAATAGGTACCACGAAAGCGGGCATGCCGTTATCGCGGCTGTAAGACCCCTTATGGTAGGATTGGCTCGAGAGGCGTCACGGGACCCTCTCAAACCGGCTGACGCAGGTGATCACTGGGAAAGGATGTTTCGGGGATCACCTGTGTCTGATCCCCGAAACAAGGAGCCAACACCTGAGTGCTACTACTGGCATGGCCGGACCGTAGACAGCTGGCAGAGTGCCCGACATGTTCGGAGCAGAGGCATGACCTCATGACGGCCGTCGGGGTAGGAGTTCTCTCGATCGAAAACATAATTGCGGCCATGGTGCAAAGCGAGAGTGCGTGGAACTCTGCCGTCTCCTTCTGCGAGCAAGTTATGCTTGCCAAGGAGATGGCGGAGCGGGACCGGGAGAGGTTTGGAACTCCAGGCCAGGTACCGCAGACGACTCAGGCGCCGGAGGCCGCAAAACGACCGTCCTCAATAAGCGCAGGCCTGGGGGTGACAGGTGAGGCTATCTGTCACCCTAGCAGAAGTAGGCCAGGGTGGCGGCGAGACGCGTTGCAGAGCGCGCGCGCGAGCACAAAGGGAACGTGGGGGTTCCCACACAGGAGGGTGTCATCTACCGGCCGTAGATGGCCCGAGGTACGTCGGGGTACCAGGGATGTCCTTTCTAGGGTACACCTGGTTCCTCGGCTACTGGTACCCGAGACGGTTTGCGGTTTTTAGTCAGTTCCAGTCCGACATAGCCAACGGTGGGAGGTATCCAAGGGTATTCCGCACAGAGAAAAAAAATCGTACCACGCACGACCGCTGTATAGTGTTCTATCTATGAACGCGTCTAAGGAGCCGCTGCGACCGCTGCGTAAGGAGTCCCTTAACAGCAACAACTTTTCAACAGGAACCATTCCGTCACACTTGATTTTTGCGTAACTTTAAGCAAGTAATAAATTTTCCCCGTTTATGCTCCCATTGATCGTAGCGTGATGTTATATAGCCTATGATACTCGCTAATAAATGTACCTTTATATTGGTAAAAGAATTTTTAAAATCGGTTCAGTAATTTCAGAGCCTATTCATTACAAACAAAGAAACAAATCTTTCCTCTTTATAATATTATACTATTATAGATAGGCGAAATAGGGTCTTTTTCTATTAGCAACAATGCTTGAGTAAGTAGTATCCCTAACCTACGTACGACAAAATCGAATGATAAATCACCGGTCTTTCACAGTTCACTGTGATTTTGTCCCATGCCTATTTTCAACGTCTACCAAAAAGTGAAAGGAACTTCGTTCCGACCAGGGGTCCATAGAACCCTTACGCCGTTTTTTTTTTTAATTTTTAGTGTTCTTTGTTAGTATTGTTTGAAGTTTGTTCAACTTTTTTTTAAAAGGGATTATTTTTGCCGGAGGTCGTGGGTTCTATTCCCATTCAGAATAAATATTGCGTGATGAGCACGATCATTTGTTCTGTATCTTGGGGTAATTTATCTCACAAAAATATAATGTTTTCCACATAACTTAATTTTGCCACCATTAGGAGTGGCAGTTTTTTTTTCACATTTGAATGGAACGAAAGGGTAAATATACCCTTTCAAATAAAAAAAGCCACGTGAGGGGTCTATGGACTTCGTTTCGCAAGAAGGTTTCGCAAGAAGTGTCGGCAAAGTCTTGTTACACATTTTTACAAAACAATTATCTAACAAAAATATTTTTGTCTAAATGTTTTGTAATCTCGTTTATTACTTTCTTGTGCATAAATCTCTGCAACCCAACACAAACACCTAACAAATACCTTGAAATAATAAAACAAGGTAAACATTAGATTACATTATTGAAAGAGTTATCCTCTAACGCCTAAACGTCAAGGAACCTTCCATCATCAGCTGAGCAATGTGAGATAACGACTACCAAACACAAATACCTGTATAGCGAGAGAAACAAGCTAAAACACGTTGTCGGGGCTGTAATATTTTGTAAAACTCGATTTTTCTGGGCTCCAAATATCAGATCCTGATTTAGTGGTAACGGAACCATCTCGGGAGTAGGTATACAGTTTCGAATACTAAAATAATTTAAAAATTCGGTGCACAATTGATGGAGATATCGCGTAACAAAGATACAAAAAAAAAAATAGTCGAATTGAGAACCTCCTCTTTTTTTTGAAGTCGGTTAAAATGAGCACTTAAATAAGTCTAAACTAGTAATTGGTTTATTGAGATAATGATTAATATAAGGATACTTATATAATCACTTTTTGTTTTGATCCATATTTTAGTTTAATAATTTCAACAGAAAATGGTTATTACAGCTAAATTATAATATTTAGATATACCTCCTCGCAGACTTTTTTGTGCGCATTCATGAGTACGTTTTCAATTTTTTATACCTGGCTTCAAACTATCGTCATTTTTACAGGTTTTTTTTTTTTAAATATAAAATAGAGCCTGTTACTCGCTGGTAATGTAGCCTTCTATAGGTGAAAGAATTTTTTAAATCGCTCCAACAGTTTCGGAGTCTATTCATTACAAACACACAAAAAAAAACTTTCCTCTTTATAATATTAGATTAGTATAGATATAAAGTATAGAGATCAGGACTGAGGAGTTGGAGACGAATTGGTTAGTGGTTGACTTTCAGAACGTACAGAACACAAGGCTGACTATTTTTTTAAGACACACTTAATATAATTATGTCAAAATTGATTTTCCGTTAATAAAGCCGTTTTTGTTATTATAGACATTGAGTTAAACAAGATCAATGATTATAGAACAATCGAAACCAAACTAGTTATATAGCAGTAATAGTGCGTTATGGCGTGGAAAACGTGTCAGCAACAGATACAGCAACTCCATACAAGTTGTGTGTTGGGTTTGATTACTATGTACTCAATTGGAGAGATAATAAAAGTTATCTTGACTGAACAACTGATAAACCGTTGACATTCATATTATAATAATGACGTCAGACTGGTACTTAACTTTAATTATAAATAAATACCCGTGTTTTTATATAAAAAGTATTTAGCTATTTCTCCATGTATTTCCAGCTTCAAATTAAATACCTTCTCAGCGTTGTCAGTTTCCTAGTAGGTATATAATCATCACAAATGTTTACGAGAAGCGATAAAGCACCGCCGATTTTGGCAAAATTCCATAATGTGTATAAATAACACCAAGGAAGTTTAAATGAATAGCGCACGTCGTACGCCATTAATATGACTCTTGACTTTCTTAGAAGAAATCACATCAATGTATAACGTGTAGAAAATAACCACAATAAACGGTGCCCGTTGTGCATTCTTTGGTAGGTACTTTTGCTACACCATCCAGGGCCCCATGCTAAAAGTGGAAACTGAACTGGAAAATTTCATAATACCAGGTATTACCCAGATCACGGACCAATATGGCACGTGAAATCTATTTATAAACACGGGTTTAACAATTCTGCGTAAGTATTTTACGCACCAACAAAAGTTTGTAAAGAACATAAGCCTAATAAGCCGCATAATAAGAAGAGATAAGCATAATTTCGTAGTTTTCGTAATTTTTTAGTTTCATTTTATTGTTCTCAACAAATCAGAGTACCGTCATGCGTCTTTGTCTAAATCTTGAAAGATGTATTTTCAATAAACATGATATCATCATCATCAACAGCCTTTACTAGTCCACTGCAGAACATAGGCCTCTCCTTAGGAAGGAGGTTTTGGCCTACTATACCACGCTGGCCAGACGGGTTGGTATAGGGTTTGTTTGGGGTGCTAGCTAGAAAACCTTCCCGTGGTGCACCCTGGAAACGCTGGCGATGGTACTGTTCCCTCCTTGTCCTCTTGGAGGAGAGGATTATCGCCAGCGGCCAATATTCTAGCAGAAGAGGTAGCCGTTCATCGGCTCTCGGGCAAGGCCTGGTCCAGCAGGGTGGGCGTGTCTGCCGGTTGCCCTGCTGGCTCTTCGCTCTTCGGAGCATGGAGGAGGAAACCTCGGTAAAAAACCGGATGGCGGGGCCCTGTAGGGGCCACAGTTTCTCCGCTGACAGCGGTGGAGAAAGGAGGACGGGCTCGGTGTGTACTCACACTACCACCGAGCAGGCAGGGGGACGTAGTCTCCCTGTCAACCGTCGGCATATCGTAATCCCGAGAAGAGCGCTGTGGTTAAGTCTCGCGGCTCTGATCGGGGGCGAGGGTCTTGGCTTAACCGCCCGGACCGCGAGGAAGATAACCTCTCTAAAAAATTCCCCGAATCCCGTGTTCTGGTGCGTGGCCAGGGGATGCATGGCTGATGGGAAGTTCAGTCGCGAGCGCACTCCAAGCCGAGGTACCTGCGGACCCCTCGGTTGGGTTAAAAATTTACGCTTGCCCGGGTAATGGGGGATCTCTGCCCGGGTGGACCTTTAGTTCTCCCCCACTCGTGGGATTTATTATGGAGCATATCACCAAAAATCTAAAGAAACGGCAACCAATAAACAAACAGAAACAGGCAAGCAAAACGGACTCGGAAATAAAAGAGAAGAGGAACAGTGGAGTGGATGGTTCATCCACGGAGGGTGAGATAGCGTCGGGAACGCCTATCTCGGTGGGGCTCCCAGAAGTCAGTCTGACGCTGGTCTCTGGGAGCCGAAGAGCATCGGATCGGCTGCGTTCCGGATCCGCCGCTTCATCGGATGGCGCGGAGGCCATGGAAGCGGAGCGGAGCGACAGCCGGAAACGCGGACGCTCAGGGGACGTGGAAACCGACACGTCCGGCGAAATGATGCCACCAAAGGTGGCAAGCAGCCGCCGAGGGAGGGCACGTAAACCGGCCTCGGTCTCGACCCCGTCAGGCTCCGCGTTCTCAAACGCGGAGTCCTACAGGAGCGTACGAGTGGACGGCGAGGCCGTAGCGGAGGAGGAGATCGCGGATCTCCTGCTCAAGGTTCGGGAGCCGGTGGGGGGAAATGTCCCCCAGGCTCCCGTGTCCGTGCAGGAGAGGGCGAAAGCGGCGGTGGCCGTCATCGACAAGGTGGCCACCAAATCCGTGAACCTTAAGGGCTCGTTTGTGAGGGCCCTTAAGGACTCCTCCTCCGCTTTGTCGGAGGTCGTGGAGGGCCTAGTGGGCGACGTATCGCGCCTACAGGTGGCCAACGAGAAGCTGACGGAGCGGGTGAACGAGCTGAGCGCTCAGTTCGCCCGCTTCCAGGCGAACCTCCCCGAGCGGGAAGCCCCGTCCGCGTCCCAGCCTGCCCCTACCACCAACTCAGGGGCATTTGACTCCCAACTGCGAGAAATCCTCATCGCAGTTGGGAATATGCTGGATGGACGCCTGGCTGGCCTGGAGGCGAGACTGCCTCCTGCGCCGATTATGCGCCCCCCGCTCGCGTCGGCACAGCGGCCTAAGGCCACCGCTCCGACCGCGCTCCCCGTTGTAGGAGGCCGCGTTTCTTACGCGGCGGCGGCGTCTGCCCCTACTCCATCGGCTCCACAAAAGCCGACGAGGAGGGGGGCCAAGGCACCGGCCCAGGCGCCGGCCAAGGCACCGGCTAAGGCGCCGGCCAAGGCACATCCCCAGGCGCCGGCCAAGACGGGGCCTAAAACGGCGCCGAGGAGCGGAGTGGCATTCCCTCCGCTCCCCACTCCGACACCCCTGCCGGGCCCCTCCGCACCTGCCCCCTCCAACGAGGGTTGGCAGGAGGCGAGGGGCTCCAAGAAGTCCCGAAGGCGGGCCAGAAAGGCTGCCCAAAAAGCAGCCCAAGCCCAGCCTTCGCCACCGGTGGCAACGGCCTCTGCAAAGAGGCCGCGGAAGCTGCAGCCGCCCAAAACCGCGGCTGTAGTTGTGACCGTGTCCCCGGAGGCGGCTGACGGCGGGCTGTCCTACGCGGCCGTTTTTAAAAAGGCCCGGGACAGCCTCGCCAACGACTTTGGGACGGTGGGG